AAACCCACCAGGGCACAAAGGAACAGAGGGAGGAAGTAGGGACCACCCAGGAGCGCAAACAGCCCATCTGTGGGACAGGGGCACGTTGTCAGCAGCTGGGAAGCCCAGCCTGGACCGTTCACCTCTCAGAGCCAATGGGGCAGCCACCCAGGCTGCTGGAAAACAGGGAAAATGAGCTGACTTCTCACTGCTCCCAGCCCCCATGAGGCCACAGCCCTGTTACCTCTCCAAGACACCCAGCATCACCCTCCCACCTCCCCACCACCACACACAGATGACTGTACCTTTGTATCTTTTAGTCCATCCTGTCACCATAGCCAGAGGGAGCTTTCACAAAGCAAACCCAATGCCGTCCATCTGTTTGTCCATCCATACTTGCTCAAAACCCTCTGGTAGCTTTGCAGTGGTCAGTGATGTGAGAACAAAATCCAATCCCCTTATCCCAGTCAATAAGGACTGGCATGATCTACCACTCCCATCCTGTGCCTGCGACATAGGGGCAAAGAGCCTGGCTCAGAGAGACTCCACCTTGATTAGAATTCTGGCACATTCATTCATTCACTCATTCATTCATTCATAAAAGTTCATTCATAAAAGTTCATTAAGCAGGTACTGCAGGTCAGGCACTGTACTAGGCATTGTTACTCACCAGTAACAAATGAGACAAAGTTCCCTGCCTTGTGGAACTTTCTTTCTAGCAGGGGGAGATTAACAAAAAATACTAGTAGTAAATGATACAGCATGCTGGAAAGTGACAGATGTCATTAAATAAAGTAAAAAACAGAGCAGAGGAAGTTGATTAGGAGTTCTGGGAGGGTGGCCTCCCTGGTGGCACAAGGGGTTAAGCACAGCACTGTGAAGCTATTTGCAGCCTCTGCAACATGAGTTTGATCCCCGGGCCGGCAGGCCGGGGAGCTGACCCACATGGCACAGCAGACCTCTCCTGTTTTGCCCGCTGCTCCCCTCAGCAGTGCATTTCAGTCAGTCTGCCTGTTCTGTTCCCCATTCTGTCTCTGGTGAATCTTCTCACCCCCACCCACACCTCTGGCCTGTACCCCAGTTCTTGTATGCATAAATAAATCTTAAAAAAAAAAAGGAGTTCTGGGAGAGGAGGAAATTGTACTTTTAAATGAAATGATAAGGGCTGGTAGGTCTCATTGAGAAAGTGACATTTAAGTGACGACCATGGAAGGTGACAGAAAGTAACATGTAGATGTCAGAGGCAAGTGCGTGTGGAGGGGGACAGCCAATGCAGAGGCCCCGATGGGGCTGCACCAGGCTTACTTGAGGAACACCACTGGGAGGCCTCAGAGTAGAGGACACCTTATAGGAGTTTGATTTTGTGGAATGAGATAGGAGGGTTTTGACCATAGAGGAGTGAGGGAGGAGGACGGGGAAGGCGAGGAAGTCCTGTGGGGCTGGAGGCTGTCATGGGTGGCCATTGCATCCTGGCACCCCAGGGGGAGCGCTGGAGTATAAGTCACACCTCAGAGTCATCTACCCACCCCCCTACCATCACCCAGGCAAGAAAGGTGGCCTCTTACAACTCTGATATGATGGCTTACAGCTTGGAGGGACGGTAAGCCCCCCAGGAATCTCCAGCAAACAAAGGCAATCCTACCTAAGAAGCGAAGTGGGTGCTGGTTACTAAACACTCACCCAAGGGGAGCACAAAAACAGCAAAAAAGATGGAGCATTGTTCTTGCCTCCAGTCCCCAGAGACAAAACCCCCAGCAATTACATCCCTTTTGGCCTGGGATCATGGTGACAGACAGGGCTCATCCCCCAGTGTGACCAGGTAGTTTTTCCTGGTTAAGAATAACTTAATAGGGATCAGCTCCACCCCAGGCACAAAGGGATTCACCTTCTACAACGTCAGGACATGTGGCAGCCCAGCCTTCTACGCCTTCTGGGAGGAGGACCTAATTACCTGAACTTAGCTCTGCTCATCATTGAATGCTTTGGACATTAGAAAGTTCTGCTTCCTATTGAGTGCACTCATTCACTCCAGAAACACTGACTGTGCACCAGCGGTGGTTCTGAAGACACAGCAGTAAATTCGACAAGTTCCCCACCCTAAGGAACTCATCACTGGAGAGGGAGATGATTAAAAGAAAAAGATGGGGTGGCAGGTGTCAAAATGGGGAAAGCCCAGGAAACTGTGGGGGTCTCTTGGGGACTCTTGACTCTGGGAAAGAGGTGACACCAAGCTGTAAGTGGGAAATATGTGGTAGCTACATTGGTACAAAGGTTACAAAGATGTGGGAAAAAATTAATTCAGGTTGATGCAGAAGCTCTGAATTTCCACCATGTCTCACCATGCCCACTGCTAAGCCCTGACCCAGCAACCATCCTCTCTTACCTGGATGACTTTGGCATCCACCTCTTGGGTATCCTACAGAAGGAGATGGTGAGAGTCTCCAACACAGGGTCAGGGAAATCAGCAGTCACTAGCTCCTTGCTCTTCTTGGTTGAATGTCAACCTATGGGCTTTAATTCACAGAAATGCCCAATCAGCCCTCACCAATTTGGGTGGGGGCACCTACAGCCCCTTCCATAGCCCTGCATTTTCAATGTTTCCTTCCTTTTTCTGACCTTATCACCTTATGACCTTCTCTCCCTTGCTTGCTCATTCTGCTCCTTTTACACTGGCTTCATTGTTCTTCCAACTTGCCAAAGACTGGTCTTAGGGTCATATTTTTGCATTTCCTCTGCCTGGAATGCTCTTTCCCCAGATGCCCACATCATTCCTCAAATGCCACTTCTTTAAAGAAGTCTTCCCTGGCCACTTTATCTCAAATAGCCCCATCATCATCCCCTTCCACCTTGCCCTGCTCTATTGTTCTCCATAGTACATGTCACCACCAGGCATATGGTTGTTCACATGTTTATTTTCTGTCTCTCTCACCAGACTGAAAGACTGGTGCCAGGACCATTTCTGGTATTGCTCATGGTCTATTACACAGCCAGGAGAGTCAATAAATATTTGTGAAATAAATGATTCTTAAACATAAGTGGTTCTGCAAGGAGTCCTTCCAAGTCTGTCTATCTCAAAGTCTTGCATATGACCTGCCCCCACAACATTTCCAGAGGCCCAGGAGCCCTTCAAGAGCCAGTCACAGCCAAAGAGCTGCCAACAAGGGAGCTTCCCTCAGCCTTTCCCCATCTAGGCCCATCTGGCAGTGCCATCCTGGTCCAGCCCTCTTTGGCCCCCAAGGTGGAAGAAGCCCAGTTCTGGAGTCCAGGTTCCAGGAATGCCTGGTGATCCCAGTTTCTCCTTGACAATGTTCCCCTTTCCTTCACAGGGCCTGTGCCTGCATTTCTGAACCAGAAGGTATTTACACAAAACATCCTGGGTTTGGCAACAAATTCACCCTTCATGAGGAATCCTTAATGAATCTCTTTCTTTCCCCATTCCAGGAGGCTGCAAGGAAAATTAGCTCTGTCTCTGGCTAATGTTGTTGAAGGCAGCCAAAGCCCAGTCTAAGAGAGAGTGCTTAAAAAAGAGAGCGAGAGAGGAGGGTCACAATCTGGATCTGGAGACAGCTGTGGTGTAGAGACCACAGAGCCTCTAGACCCACGTGGGCTCCTGGTTTGCAGTGTGACAAAGCATTGCCCTTCCTCTGGCCTCAGGTTCTCCCTGTGAAATGGGGCAGTAATAGGCCACCTGAACAAAGATCGTTGTGGAATCCAAGTAAGGCAAGGGGAGTGAAAAGGCTTGGACTTGCAGTCAAAAGCGGAGAATAAAAAGTGGAGTCTGGGAGACAAGCTTAAAAATAAATCCTACCACCTTCCCATCCTGAGGAGAGACAATGAGTGGTACTTTCATTCACCCCATTTTATTATTTTTAATTTTTAAAAAAGATTTATTTATTTATGCATACAAGAATTGGGGTACAGGCCAAGGGTGGGGGGGTGAGAGGATTCACCAGAGACAGAGGGGGGAGCAGAACAGGCAGATCTACTGAAATACACTGCTGAGGGGAGTAGTGGGTGAGACAGTAGAGGTCTGCTGCACCATGAGGGTCACCTTCCTGGCTCAGGATCAACTCACGCTGTAGTGGCTTTGGATAGCTTCATAGCACTGCATCTTAACTCTTTGCATCACCAGGGAAGCCCCTCACCCCCATTTTATAAACAGAAGCTAAATGTCTCAGCAATTACATCTAAGTCACAACAACACATGGATCTCCTTGGTGTTCCTCAAACAGGGGACGATTTCTATTTCTTCACAGCCCTTGTCAAGGCCTGCCAGAGTAAAATGGACCTTTGAACTCAAATGCCTGCATTAGGGGCACCAAGCAGCAGAAAATCCAGGGTCCTCTGAATGGGGGTACTGAATCTGTGTGTGCCGAATACCCCTAGGGAAAAATATCTATGGAGAAAAAAGATACAGGAAAAAAAAGTGGACCCATGTGATTCAAATACGTATTATTCAAGGGTCAACTGTTTAGTCATTAATTGTTGGTATTTCCCACTAGGATGGACTTGCATGAGGCCAGGGACTTTGTTTTACTCACTGCGGCATCCTCAGCACCGAAAACCGGCACATAAGTTGCTCAGAGTGGTGGCGCAGGGGTTAAAGACAGTGCTTTCAAGCTGTTACTAGCCACCGCAGCACCAGTTCGATCCCCGGCCAGGGAGCTACCCACATGGTGCGGCAGACCTGTCCTGCCTCGCCCGCTGCTCCCCTCAGCAGTGTATTTCAGTCAGTCTGTCTATTCTGCTCCCCACTCTGTCTCTGGTGAATCCTCTCACCCCCCACACGTCTGGCCTGTACCCCAGTTCTTGTGTGAATAAATAAATCTTAATTAAAAAAAAAAAAAAATATATACGACCCTAGGGAGGTACCGCTAGGAGGCAGCGCCCAGACTGTGTTCCCCGGGTCCTGCAGGGGGCGCGCCAGCCCAGCCCCGAGGCGAGGCTCCGCCTCCCACCCCTCTACGTTGAAGTAAGCGCGTCACGTTCTTTAAGTCGAGCATGCGCGCTGGGAACCCTGTTAGGGCGGCGCATGCGCATGCAAGAGGGCTCCGAGCTGGGCCTGCTCCGAGCTGGAGCGGGTGGGAGCGGGCCCGCTGGGCACCATGCTGTCACCCGAGGCCGAGCGGGTGATGCGCTACCTGGTGGAGGTTGAGGAGCTCGCGGAGGAGGTGCTGGCCAACAAGCGACAGGTGGGAGGCCCTGCGGCGGCGCACCGGCCGGGTTGGGAGCCTGGGTCTGGCGTGTGCGCCCTGGGGAGGTGCGCAGGGCCGGGATCTGGCCCCGGCACCGGCCCGCTGTGCGTGGACCGGGGCTGGAGATCGACCGGCTCCGACGCGGACGGGCGGCCGCTGTGCAGTAATGTTCAGGGCGAAACGCTTGGCACAGCCCCACGCTTCCGTCGTTTCTATTTGGCGCCTGTTAAGTGAGCGCCCGCTGGGTGCTGGGCATCCCCATTCGCCTCTGTCCCTTACCGTGCCCTGCGACTCCGAACCCATTTCACAGCGCAGTTCCTGGGTCCCCTTATGGGCCAGGGGTGCACAGCTCGGGTCAAGACCCCGAGGGAGACGAGGAGCAGAACAGACGCCTGAGTGGTATTCTGATTAGTCAGGGGTGGGGACGCTGAAGGAAGACGAGTCCCACATTCCTGCACAGGAATTTGGGTCCAGTTTTAGTTTAAACGTTTGAAAGGAGCTCATGGGGGAAGGGAGCTGGAGATGATGCAATTGAATTTAGGTTTTTAAAAGGTAGTTAACTGCTGCGTGGAGCACAGAATATAGAGGGGTGGGCTAGGAGCTGGTGGGGTCATTGTCATGGTCCAGGTGAGAAACTGGTTTGAACCAGGGTCTTGGTGATGGAGACAAGTGAGTGGGTCAAATGTATTTTGGAGATGGACTCAGTGGGCCTTGATAATGTTTACATATGAGGTGAGGAAGTAGTAGAGCCAAGAATGACTCCTGACACCTCATCTCCAGTTAGATCAATTGAATGGTTCATTTACTGAATAGGGGAAGAGCCCATTAAAGAAAACACTGCATCCGGGTGGCTGGGCAATACTGTTAATAGTTTAGCAAGTAATAACTGGGTGTCAGGTATGTGTAAACACATTTAGTTCTAGGTGCAATAATTTGTGAGACTCACATTTCTATTTTTCAGAGGAGCAGGTAGGGAGGTGAAATGAAACAGCTCAGTGAGGGCAGAATTCACACCTGGGCATTTGGGCTCCAGAGCCAGCACTTTTAAGCGCTTTCTGCAGTGCTACCTGTTTCCTCAGATGCTGCTGTGCAGTTATCACCATCTTGGTGCCCCCAACCCTGCTCTACCAGATTAGTATTGTTGGGTTTCTCATGATAAAAGGCCAGAATCAGTGGAGTTCTCCACTCTCCTGGTGATGGTGAAATTCTCTAAAGCTTGAGAACTAGTCTTCCAGGGGGCAAGAAAAGCATACATTTACCAGCACCTTCTCTGAGGGGAAACACCTACACAAAACATTGTCTCTCAGGACCAGGAAGTTGAGTGGGGAAAGAAATAAGACATGTATCAGTCCATTTTAGGCAAGATGTTGCAAGTAACCCAGGAATGCTGCTCTTAGTTAGGTTTTAATAGCCCTTGTTCCTGTTGAGAGGTGACAGGTTGGGGCAGGAGGTAGCTGAGTTTCCTCCTGGCCTGTGCTTTTCAGATCGTGGACCTGGACACCAAAAGGAACCAGAACCGGGAGGGCCTGCGAGCCCTGCAGAAGGATCTCAGCTTTTCTGGTAAGTCAAGACTTCTTCATTGCAACCCTGGAGGCCTGTTCAGTTTTCCATCTAAGGTCTTCACCTTGCCCCTGCATAGTGACCAGGCAGGAGGCCACAGGTGTGACACAGCCTGGGGGCGGGGGCGGGGAGTAGTGGTGGGGGGGGAATGTTGGCCTGACACCAGGATTAGTGTGTTTTCACACAGTAATGACTCAGGATTTCAATGGTGCCTCATTGACAAGTCATTAGCTGCTGGCTCACCAGTAATGGCACTAGGAAATGCTGGGCTCTACAAATGAATAAGGCAACAAATGCATAATTAAAAATTGTGAGAAAGCTGAAGAAAGAATTGGACATGGGCAGGAGAAGGGGGCAGGCAAGGGACTGGTGAGGGGCCGTCATCATGGTCTGGAGCCTCTTCAGATGAAACTAAGTGGTTATGACAGGGTAAGCAAGCGGAGAGAAGCATGGCATGAGGTTGGAGAGGTGGGTAGAGGTCTGGCCATAATGAAGGGCCTTGGGGATTGAGTGGAGAAGTTTAAGTTTTGTTTAAAGTACACTGGAAAGTCTAAAACTTCCCAGTTGCTTCTCATCACCAGAGTAAAATCTGGACTCCCACATAATCTGACTCCTTGAATTCTCCAGCATCATCCCCTACCTCATCGCCTCCATCCACACTGGTCTCCTTACTGCATCTAACACCCCGAGCATATTGATTTTTGTTGTTCCTGTTTCCACTGTTGGACTTGCTCTTTCCCCAGATGTCTGAGGGGCTCACACCCTTACTTTCTTTGGGTCTTGGGCCAGATGTCATATAATCAATGAGGCCTTCTCAGACTTAGTATAAGTAACCAGTCCCTTCCCTACTCAGGCATTCCCTTATCCCCCCTCCCTTAGCCTGCTTGATTTTTCTCTATAGTACTTGGACTTGTTACGGTTAGACAAATAGTATCTTTTTTTTTTACTCCCTTTCTCCAAGGTAACAAGTTCTCTCAGAGCAGGAACTCTGTTTTACTCTGCTGTGTTCTCAGCATTTAACAATTCCTGGCAGACAGTAGATGTTAATAGATACTTGTTAAAGGAATAACCATTTACCATTTCAGAAGATGTGATGGTTTGCTTCGGGAACATGTTTATCAAGATGCCCCACCCTCAGACGAAGGAAATGATTGAGAAAGGTAAGGCCTCTAGAGGTGAGTCAGGTACACAGCTGCCTTGCCTCTTTTAACCTGCAGGCTCTTTTAACCTACAATCGAGAGTCAGATTTTGGGCAGCTTCATGAGAGGTAGCCAAGGGTTAATACTGCTTGGGGTTTAGTTACTGTTCTGCCACTGGTATTTTGTCATTTCTAAAAGGGAGACACATCTATGTAGCACAGTTGTTGTGAAGTTGAAATGCAACAGTATTTGTGCCAGGTGGAGTGCTTGTTTCTTGGTGGATTGAATTGGGCCACACAAAACAAAACACAGAAAACCGAACAATTTGAGGCTGAGGGAAGTGGAGTTTTGGTTTGCTCAGATAAGAAGTCACTGGCATGACTGAGGGCAGCGTCATCTTAGCGTGTCCTCGTGGTAGTTTAGCAGCACTGCAGGCCTCATAGCCAACATACCAGGCTTAGTCCACAGATGACCTTGCCTTCTATTTTGGAAACCAGGCCATTTTCCTCAGCCACTTCTGACATCTTATTGGCCAGAGCTTAGTCACATGACCATCCATAGCTACATGCGAGCTCGGCAGAGTGAGCTTTTACTTTCACACACTTTGGGCAGCTGGACAGGTTGAAATGGAAGTTTGGGAGGCGTGAACCTCTAGGGTCTGTCGCAGCACGGACACTCCACATGTTACTCACTTCTTTATAAGCCTACCCAGGGGCTCTTTGGAGAAGCATCATGAAGGCAAAAAAGTCAGGCAACCTGAGGGCCCTCAGGAAAAGGGCAGGTTATACATATTTTTATCCTCCCCAACCTTGAAAATGGATGGGCCAAGAGGACTAGCAAAGTTGTCTTGGTCCTTGAAGACAGGGTGTTTCTATACTTGTTGAAATCTAAATGCAGGCAAAGAAAACTGATTCAGCTTGGAGGAGCAGTTTCCAGAGTCCTGTTGAAAAACATGCCTAATGTAATGGTTAGAAAGTCAAGAGCTCTCGTACTTGGGTGGCAGAGGCAGCTCAGGCTAAGCTTTCAGAGTAGGTCACTTGCTTGAGTTCAGGATCTGGTCCTCAGCATTGTTGACTCACAAATGTGGTCCTGTCTCTGTACCTAGAGGAGTTCTGGGACACCATCATCCCTGGCATCGATGCAGGGAGATCTCGTGAGAGATTGGGGTTACTCATTGCCCAGGCCAGAAGCCTCAGCTGGTCAGGGCTTTACCCCCACAGGAAGAATGGTGAACCAGCCAGAATGTCACCATGAACAGGTAGAAATGGAGCAGGTATAGTTAGCTGGGTGACATTTGCTTGAAGCCTTGACAGCTGCCTCTGTCAGCCTCCATGCCTCATTATGTGATTTGCCTTCAGGTGTGACCCATCCGAGCAACCTAACCTTCCTGTTCACTGTGGTTTCTTAGGTTAAGCTTGAGCATTGGGCTTGCCCATTGATTATGTCACCTAGAAGCTCCTCACCTTGGAGGACTTGGGTTTGTAAAATTCCTCAACCACCCATTTTCCCACCATCTTAAGGTGGACTAGATCTAGATTAATTTTGGTCTTATGCTCTTATATTTGAATTTAACATAATTTCATTATGAGAGGGTGACCCAAAATCCTGATATATTGTCTTTCCCAATGGCGGTCTATCCCTTGGTGCTTTGCATAAACAAGTTGAGTGAACTGAGTCAGAGATTGGTGTGCTCACCCTATACTGGACTCGTTCCGTGATTTTGGGTTGGTCAGATGCCTTCTCAAGCCTTCAATCTTCATTTGGTCTCTGAAGTTCCCTTTTCCTTTCTAAATGCTGAGATTCTCTTGCTCTCAAGAGACTGGCATCTCAGACTCCCTTTGGGTAAAACATGTAGTATAACCTCGTCCTCTCCTTGCCTCCCTCATTTCAGATCAGGATCATCTGGATAAAGAAATAGAGAAACTGCGGAAACAACTTAAAGTGAAGGTCAACCGTCTCTTTGAAGCCCAAGGTACTGGCTTGGGAGGGGAACTAAAAACCTGGAGGGGAGTGAGCCATCAACACAGATTTTGATGGACGGGGGTGAGAAGTGTTCCCAGGTGGGCAGTAGCCTGGACAGGCTATGAGTGGCACTGAAGCTGTAGGCAGCTTTGTCTGTAGCCTCCCAGAGATGGAAAGGACAAGAAGGTTTGTGGGGTCTTAATCTTGTCCTGAGTTCTTTCCCAGATACCAGTTACAGCTCAGGGTAGCGCACATCTCCTAGGACATGGTATAGGGGTCACGATGGCTCTGTCTGGGGTCTCAGAAGGCCTCAGGAAGTCTGTCAAGGTCAGGTCAAGGACTGGATTTCTGGGTAAACTTCTGGATTGGTCACAGGACTGGCAGGAATCTGGAGGTTTCTGCGCGGTAGAGTTCTGAATCAGCCTTGGCTGCTGCCTCTATCAGCCTCCACGCCTCATAATGTGACTGCAGGTTCTTGACCACTCAGGAGCAGTCCATGTGCCTCGCCCAAAGCCTTGCAGCTCGAGGTCTTCCCCATCACCTCAGGGCCAAGAGTTTGGCACCATGAATGCGCTATAAGCCCCTTTTGCAGTCTTGACGCCAGGACGATGAAGGAGGTTGGACAGCAGAGAGCTCATCTTGCTAACGAATTGTCTTCTCTCCATAGGCAAACCAGAACTGAAAGGTTTTAACCTGACGCCCCTCAACCAGGATGAGCTTAAGGCCCTCAAGGTCATTTTGAAAGGATGATTTTCAAGAACCAAGATGGGGACCTAAGACCATCAATCCCTTCCCCAGGGTTATGGAGGACCCTGGACTCTCCAAACTTGAAACCTAAAAGGACAGAATCAACCCTGCAAGGGGACATGCATCAGGAATGGGCCATGGCTCCAGTATGAAGCCTCTTTGTCTGTAGTGCTTGGCTGCTCTGAGACGGCAGGAAGGAACCCTCAGCCTGCCAGTGTCCGCTGGGCTTGACCACTGGGCCGGGTGGACACAAGACCCATTGACAGCCCCCGGTATCCACCAGTGGGTGGGTGGTGGCAGTGGGGGTGTGAGAATGAACATAGCAGCACTTCTGACAATGGCCCGCTGTCCAGATGGGACACGGCAGTGAAGAAGGGCAAGGGAAGAGTGGGAGCTTCATTCCAGCATTCCTCTCAGACAGGGAGACATTTCCAAGCCGTGTGTGTAACAGAATTGGAAGAAAACAAAGCGCACGAGTGGTTTCTGAAGGAAGGACTGAACCCTGTGCTTTGTGGTTCACCACAGCCATCCACTCCCTTCCCCTCACACACACACACTGCCTCCCTTTGGCCCTTGTTTCCAGTTTGTGCCCCAGGACAGAGTCCAGAGTGGGTGCTGCTTATCAGCGCTGTGTGCCTGCTCTTTTAGTCAGGAAGGCCTTGCAGCGTCCTGAACTGGTGGTGGGTGAGGAGCTGCCCCCGAACATTCATGTGCATCCAGGGTGCCCTTCTCCTGCCTCTGAAGCAGGGCCTGGGCCAGCATCTCCCGTCTACCTCCAGGGGTCTCGGGTCCCATTGAGAACGTGCCGCGAGGGCAATGCAGCGTCTTTCCTGTTCACTAAATAAATGTTGCTCAATAAATGTTACCCGGATGAATGAGTAGCATCTTCTGATCTTTACCTCACTCGGTCCTTGATCGAGGACACCCTGTGCCCTTAGGATACCACCTCTGAAGGGGCAGTGGTTCTTGTCTTGAAATGATACAGATTAGACAGCAAGCGTTAAGATGGGGAGGGCACACCTCACATGTCTCCTCCACTCGGCTGCAGCTGGTAACTATGGAAAGACCCACCGCTGTGATCAGAACTTGTGTTTTCTTGAAGAACTAGAGACTTGAATTTTTAAGTTGAATCTTTTGCTTTTTAAATATTGTTAGTTCAGGAAGTATTTGAAACTTGGGTGTTGAACAAACTAAATTACCTTACATAAACTTCCATAAGTTTGCATCCTCTGCAACTTTGTTGTTGCTTTTAAATAGAAATTACTGTGTTTGCCCCACAGTGATGCTAAGACACAGGGAGGTTGGATTGGAAAGTGAAGTCCATCCTCTGTAGACAAGTGGGATTGGTGGCTCCAGATAGTGGAGTACTACATAGCTGTGATCAAGACCAGGGAGCTTTGCTGACTTGGGACAAGCTCCACAATCCATGAAGTGAGAAAAGCAAGATATAGCAGGACTCTAGTTAAGCTGCTGCTTATGTGCAAACACGTTTCCCTGGGGCAGGCTGCACAAGGGGAGGAGGAAGGGATACATTGCTTTTACATCGCATGTTTTCAGAGAGTTGTGAACTGCACTTTGGTAGCTGCTGTCTGGTGTGACGGCCTGGCCTCCACCTGACCATGTGCCTGCTTGTCTGGCAGAGTGAATACTGGGCTAAAGAAGAGCCAGACTTTCTCCTGGAAACCTGGGGCCTGTGGACTTGCATCAGTCATAGAAATGGAGGGATGTTCCTCTGCTCCAGAGTCAGGAGGCCCAGAGTAACCTCACTCCTGACCACCCCCAAGGCTGGCTTGTTCACTTCGTGGGGTTGCCAGTGTGTCCTGTCTAAAAGCTTTCCCCTTCCCTGGCTTCACTCACTGGTGGAATATAAGGAAACTGATGAAAGGGTCAGGAAAAAGACAAAACTTGCTGGCAAACCATAAGCTGAGGTTCACAGCGGGAGGAGGAAAAAGGGTCAAAAGGGGAGGAAAGAGCACAAGGGACTGAGGTGGGAGAGCTACAGGGACTACACATACTGTGCAAAATGAACAACTATGTAAAAATTAAAAAGCCTTTCCCTTCCCTAGGCAGTTACATTCTGCTACTTGCAGCCAAAACAGCAACCAGAAACCTGTCCTGAAGCTGTGGGGGTGGAGGGAGGGAGCTGTCTGGGGTCCAGTGGTTGGTCCCCCAAGGAGCAGCCAATCCGCTCTTGTTGCAGGTCCTCTTAAACCAAGAGGAGACCTAGGAATGCGGGGAAATGCAGATGTTTTTACTGGTACGCAACTTTCCAAGCCATCTCCTTGCCTGCCAGCCCAAAACTTTCTGATTTAAAAAGCTCAGCCCCAAGCCTCCAGGAGGAAGGCCCCGAGAGGCATCCATGTCATTCAGGGCACCTTATAGAGACACTCACTACGCAGCTCTGCCTTGGTCCTTACCCTGTCCATCTGGAAAACGGGGAGTTTTCAGCGGTCAGAAGAACTGGCCCCTGGTTTTCAGCAGTCAGAAGAACTCGAGTTCCCCTGATGTGTAAAGTCAGGGCAATGCAAGGAAGGAGGCATGCATTAGGGCTCAGCCCTCACCTAGGCCCCCAATAAACAGAACCTATAACTGCTTGCTTAAGATAAGTTCCCTGGACGCTGAAGCCTGCTCCTGAAGAAACCATTCAGCACTGACCTGAGAGACATCAAAGGGTCAAAGCCAGGAGGGTTTAGTTGCACTGACATCATCCTGAGCCAGCCCACATGCACAGTCACTCCAATTAAGGCCTGTGCTCGTTTATCAGCCATGATCTCGGGTAGAAGAACTCACAGCATTTGTCCTCTTTGCACCTGATTGCCAAGTCAATGATCCAGGTTAAATCCGATCGAGTCCTGGAGATTGAATGTCTCCTGCTGCACAGATACCCAGAGTTGGGGTGGGGTATCCAGGGGGCCCTGAACAAGCAGCAAACAGTGGCTGCTGAGGCAGCAAAGCAGCTTCTGGGCCAGAGGAGGCAGAAGGAAGGTGAGTGCTCCGAAGTGTGGCCGTGCTGGGAGTGGGGAGAGGACTGGCTGGTACCTTCCGGGAACTTAGCCGGAAGCTTTCTTCTGGCTTTGGAGGGAGTGGAATAGCTGCCTCAGCTGTGTTTTCCGATCATTGACACAACCTGGAAGGGAAGGAAAGTTCAGTGTCGACTAGAATGGCCTGTGCTTAGTAGAGGGGTCCTGGGGGGCTGGGGGTGCAGGCAGGAGCTATGCACCTAGGTGGCCTATAATCTGCATCCTGGCTACCTGCCTGAACTGCCATGTGCCTCAAGTAGGTCCTTTACCTGTGAAGATCAGTTTCTCCTCCGTAAATCAGCATATCTGCTTTAGGGGGTGCGTGTCAGATTCAACCAAAAAACTAACATTCGCTGGAATTTACCTCAAGCCTGAGGGGACTGCTTCAGGTGCCGAATGTGGGTTAACTGGAACCTCACAGGGGTGATGTGTGGAAGAGAAAACTGAGGCCTTGGGAAATGAAGTAGCTACACAATAAGCAGAACTGGGGATTAAGCCCAGTTTATCTAGCTCCTGAGGAAAGCTCTTAATCACTACCTCCCACTGCCTTTCCTCCTGCTTCTGCTCAGTGAAAATGCCCATCAAGCTAGCACAGTGCCGGAAACCTAGCAGGTTAAATGGTAGCCTCCCCATACTCAGGCCCACATGCCAGGCATAATTATTTAGAGATGACCTCCCCACAGGTGGCCCCTATTCCCGTGGTCATGTCCAGGCAGTCCACACCGAGAGGCCAGCGTGAGTTTCTGAGTCTCCTCATCTCCCACCACCTTCACAGTGCTACCTGCTTCCTCTTTTCCCTCAGAGCTGATCCTGAGGCAACTCCATGGTTATGAAATCTTACGACAGGCGCACTGATGGCACTCACAAATGCTGGTGGAATGACTGAATCGTCATAGCCACAACTTTCATGCCTGTCACCTTTCTTAGCACCCCATGACCCCATCCCTGACTCCTGGCCACTCCCCAGACATCAAGGCTTCACTGAGTTGAGAGCCCACTGTAGGCATCCTCAGGGTTTTCCAAAGTGAGTTCCATGGAACCTTAACTTTTACTGTATTGGACTCATTCCTACCTCCCGATCTTGGTGTCCAATGCAAACCTCTCCTTAGCGTTCTAGATTTATCTCTGATTTATCTGCAGATGTCTCACCAGGAGATCCCTCACCACATCCCTAACTCATTTCAGTAATACTCTTTCCACCCTCAGCCAGCTTCTCTTGTATTTACCACCACCTACCCAGACACTTAACGGGAGACTTGGGAATTATCCTAGAAACTTCTGAAGCAGTAGCTCTCAACCTGGACCACATGTTAGAAACACTTGAGAGTTTTAAAAATACAGTGTCCAGACCAACTGTATCTGTCTCTGGCAGACATCAGTATTTTTAAAATTTTTGGGTGATTCCCGTATGCAGCCAATGCCTTCATAAGTTGAGAAAAATGTAAACCACGTACTGATAAATAAAGTATGGACAACTTACAAATGAAGAAATGCAGAGTTTAAAATCTGAAACCTCATCAGTAATCATGGATGCACATGAGTCAGTACTTAATAACTATCAAGTAGCTGACAAATTTGGATCATCTTTCTAGAAAGCAACTTGACTGTATTAAGTCCATCCTTTTGACCCGTAGTTCTACTTCTAGGAACGTGCCCTACAGAAATGGCCTGAGTCTCAGCTGAGCTTTGTGTGAGAGGATGTTCACCATGGCATTGTTTACAAAAGCAAAAAACTTCAAACTGTGCCAAATGTCCAATTATAAGAAATTGGTTTAGTAAGTTTTGGCCTCTGTGCAGCCAGGCTATTTGCAGGCCTGTGTGGTTGTGTTTCCTTCCGTGCTAAGTGGCGGGGCCAGACAGACCAGCGTTCAAGCCTGGCTCACACTTGTAACCAAGACCTTCCATAAGTTACATAACATCTGGAGACCATTTTCTCTCCTGTAAAATAATACAAACTGGCAAAAGTGAGATAAAGTATGTAAAATATGTAGTGTGGACCTGGTCAAAAAAGTTTCCAAAAGGGGGCCTCCCTTGGTGGCGCAGCGGTTGAGCACTGGGCTGCGAAGCTGCCCACAGCCTCTGCAGCACCGGTTCCATCCCTGGCCACTGGTGAGGGTCCCACATGGCGTGCAGACCTCTCCTGCCGCCCACTACTCCCCTCAGCAGTGTATTTCATCAGTCTGCCTGTTCCATTCCCCGCTCTGGTTCTGGTGAATTCTCTCACCTTCTCGCGCTTCTGACTGTACCCAGTGCTTGTATAAATAAATAAATAAATCTTTAAAAAAAATTTTTTTAACAAAAAAAAAAAAATTTTTTTTTCCAAAAGGGAGGCTTGTGTTAATATTGTGGAATGATACGGAGAATGCTGTGGGAAAGTGGGACTCAAAACCCAAGCCTAGTGCCAATTCCGCAAAACAAAAAGTATGAATATATGAATTTTTAAAAAACTGGAAGGAAATACGCCAGATTGTTAAAGATGGTTATGTCTGTATGTTTTTTTAAATTTCCTTCTTTAGTTTTCAAATATTCTACAGTAGTGTGAATAATTTTTATAATAGGGGATATTTTTAATTTTTTGAAAACCAAGTTTAAAGTCTAACACATCGTATGTTTTTTGACTTCTGGTTTACCTAGGCCTTTTGATGCCTACCTCCCGACAGGTCAATCTTTCACACCACGTGCCTGTGTCCTAGGCATGTACTGAATAGAAACTGTTTAGCCTCCATTTTACAGACGAGGTCTCTTGCTGAAGTTCACACAACTGCTAGGTAAATTGCAGGGCAAACAAAACACCTTAATAACCACTGTGTGAGCTCCCTCCTGGGCCACCAGGCACCTCCCACGACATATCCCGGTGCTCACTTCCCACCTGGCCCCACATACCAAGGTGCGTATTGGTCACAAAGTTCCCTGACCCTGATAGGTCAGGGGTCCCCTCCTCTCTGCTGACCGGGCCATCATTCCACATGAGGTCAAAGCCTCCAACTCTCTTCTCCCTTCCTGTGAGCCTGGGCAGGCAGGAGACAAAAAGGGGTTAATGAAGATGCAGTTGGAGGGGCCTTTAGCCCCAAGCCAGGTCCCTGACCCCTCCTTGCACTCGACTGGTGTCCATGTTGTCAGAATTGCCCATCCATTCATTGGCCTTTGCCCAGGTGTCAACAAGTCTTGGAGAGAGCATCCAGTTTTGTAAAAGCCTCACCCTTGCCCTCAGTAACATGCACTCACTCGAGCTTTCTTGTTTAAAGTGCTCTTTCCTGTGTGTGCCAGAGGACTGACACCGTAGGGGCTCAGATGTTTGTTGAATGAATAAATGAAAGATGGACATAGCAGACACCTAGGGTTTCTGCCTGCTCTTTTTCATCCTAAGGATACCTAGGTTTTTCCTTTGTGAACCACTCCTCCCTCTCTCACTGCATGGCTTACGCCTTTGGGAGGTGTGCACAAGGTAGACCTTGACAACAGTCACAATGATGGTTCGGGATGAGCAGGTGCCCACCAATGAGCAGTGACAGCCCTCAAACTTCTGCTGGAATAATTGGGGGAAAGTTACTGCAGGGGAAAGAGATGAGATGGGGTTGGGGAAGAGAGATTACGAACCAAATAAAACTGCTGAGTACCTGACTTCAGCTATACTGAAGTCAAGGCTGGGCTTTTCCATTTATACACATTGTATGCATTGTTAGGACAATAGCCTTTACTGAGCACTTACTATGAGCTAGGCACTTTACAATGAATTTCTTGGTAAATTAACAACTTGAGAAGTAGATATGATGTTTCCCATTTTACAGACAAGGAAACTGAGACCCAGAGAGGTGAATTCACTGGTCCAGGGCCTGCAGGAAGTGTTAAGGAAATCCTGCTGGACCAAACCTCAGAAAGTTGTAGATGGCCTGCTCTGCCCCAAAAAGTCAGAGTCCTCAGGCCTAGAACAGACCCTGTGTGGGCCTCGCAGTTCCTCCACATAGAGGATGGGGGGCAAGCCAGAGCCACACTGAGGGCCGCTCCAGTCCCAGGCTCTGAGCACCCTGCTGCCTTGGTGGGAGCTCAGATGGCTGTGCACAGTGCCTGAGGCCCTGCCCACCCTCACTGGCATCCCTCACCTGGCCTCCATGTCCACGACGTGCAGTGTGTCTTCCAGGAGGCAGGTCTTGAGCTCGTAGTCTTCCTGGCTGCTGGCTGTTAGCGATGGGGATGCATTGACCTCCAGCAGCCACCTGGGGATGTAGTGGGGAGCCTTAGGGCTTCTTAGTGCCTGGAGTGCCTGGAATTTCACTGAGAGGCTGGATGGCGTTCTGGCTCCACCCTGAATTCAACCAGGATTGTCCCTTCGACTTTTCCATTTGAAAAAAGGTTTCAGTGGCTAAAACTTTTTGAAAACAATTATGGAAAACTTGAAATTCCCACAGGAGGTCAGGCAATCACTTAGATGAGAGGAGCTGGTGGAGGTAAGAATGATTTGGGTGCTCTTGTGCTCTACACAACAAGGAAACTACAAGGAAAACTTTCCTTTCCTAGTAAGGTTTACCTGTAGATGCCAGTTGACAAGTCAGGGTTGGGGAGCAATAGGGAGGGATGGAGACTGTAATGAACTGGAAAGAGCATTCCACGTCTAAAGGGGTGGCTCTGACCAGCTCCAGGGGACTATTGTTCTGTGGGAACATGAGCCCAGAATTGTAAGATTTGAGTTTTCCGGAAGAGCCAAAAGTCTAGAACATCTCCCAATATTTAAGGATTGTCAATAAATTTAAGTGAAAAACAATACCAAAAACCCATTCTGAAGGCCAAACTTAAGTGGACAGGAGTCTGCACACAGAGAGGGAAGGGCTCACCAGCAGGTCAGTGGGAGACTCAATCCCCTGTCTGCTATCTTGGGAGCCGCCTCCTGCCAGCTTGCTTCCCCCATCAGTGGCAATGCTCACAGTCACATCTCGCTGCAGGGGTCAAGGAGAAACCAACTGGTGCTGGCACACTGTTTTTCTTGAACCCTGGCTAATGTAGATCTGCTCTAGGCTACTGGGAGCTGCAGTGCTGTGGGGAGCAACTCAGCCCAGGACATTGAACCTGTGTGTCACTGCCTGTGCCTTACTGCATGACTGCCAGCTTCCCGACACCCCCACAGGGCTTCTGTGTCCTGTGGTTATGACATGGGCACCACCACTGTGGTCCCTGCCATCTCAAGCTTGTCTTACCTGTCTGCTCAACCTCCTCCATGGGCACTGTGGGACTGCACTGAATTCTTGGCAGGGATTGGCATGTCGACAAATTCCCTAACATGACATTTTGCTCAAAGCACCAGGACTTACAGAAGGGACTCTGCTTGTCTGACCCTAGGAGAGGAACCCCCACTTGGCGGATGTTCAGAGCAGGCCTCCCTGGCCAGCCAAAGGGCTCAGTGCTGCCTGGGTAAAACCTCATTTTTTCCTTATTAACACTGCTATAGGCACAGTGATCACCCCCATTTTACAGACAGGCAAACTGAGGCACAGAAAAAGAAAGGGTGGCAAGTAGGAAGCAACAGAGCCAATATCAAACCTCCTGCCCACCTACTTACGGCTTGAGATCTTGGTCGATGAGGATGTCGTAGCCATAAAGCTCAAAACAGTGCTTGTCACTGATGATCACCTTCTGCACGCTCTGTAGGCTCTTGACGAAGATGTTGTCCATCTCACTGAAAAGCGTCTCCACCGCCTTGGGTCCATGCTTGGATGCCAGGTACTGCCTGAAGCGCTGGAGCATCCACTTGCAGCCCTGGGGCCCCATGCACCCCAGTTGGGAAAGGAGCCTCAATTAACTGGGACCTGGCCCCCTGAGACCCTCCAACAATCACCATTAGCACAGCTCTTAGGCCTGAACAAGAGAGGCCCAGACCTGAGTCCTATAATTGGGAGGATCTGAGTATGCTCCTCAATGTGAGGTGAAGATTCTGCATGCCCAGGAGAGATACCTACCTGGGACTGTGCCTCTTTCTCAGCATAACCCAGGACACCAGAATTCCCTGCCCAAATGGCCTGTGCAAGCCTCTTCCCTGGGCCTGCCTTCCTGCGGACAGCCTGCACTGACCGTGTGTGCACCCCACAGCTCAAGGACTAACCAACATGTTGCTGGGTTTGTTTTTTTTTTTTTTTTGGTGGGGGATTGTATCCAGAGGGTCCCCAATTAGTTGGGTGTAGCTGGGGTGGGGAGAAGAAGGGAGCAGGTGTAAGCTGATGTGTTTTGGCTCTTAACTCTGACACCTGGCAATTCTACATTTGAACCTGGCCTAGAGGGTTGTTGATAGATGATGGGTGGGTGGGTGGGTGGATGGATGGATGGATGGATGGAGGATGGATGGATGGATGGATATCTGCAATGGTAAGTGTCTAGAATACATGTTATTAAAATGTCTGTAAGTTTGGTTCATAACTTTTAAATATTTAGTTTCAGGAAGCCTATACCTCCATTTCTGCTCTTGCCTTGGGCCTTGCAAATGGGAAGGTGGACCTGACCTTGCTGGTGAACTATGACCCCATGACAGGCTGGTCCCGGGCTCCTTGGTGCCTCTCCTTGGTCCTTACCCCAACATGGTCCCAGAAGGCTGTGCCGATGGAAGGCAGAACCTGGCTTCTTACCTTCTTTGGATGGTAGTCAGGAGATGTCTTTTGCACAGCAACGTTGGTGAGGTGAACGTCTGCAGAGGTTGGTGGTTAAGGACCAGCGTGGACAAGAAGGGTGTGCACATTAGTCCCAACTAAGCTAACTAGACCAAATTCACACCCTCGCTTGGGAATTGAGGTGGGAAGCTATGAAACAGCCCAGAGGTCACATGTGTGGGCTCTGGAATCAGGTGGGCCTGGGTGCAAAGTGAGAGGTGCAAATTCTCAAGTGAAACCTGGCTTCTCCATCACAGTTACGTTTTTAAACCTATTTACTTGGAAAAAGTTAAAACTCAGATAACAGTTGAAAGAATGTTATAATGAATGCCTCCATTTGCTTCATTTAGAAATTGTTTCAGAAAGGGGGCCTCCCCTGGTGGCGCAGCGGTTGAGCGCTGGGCTGCAAGGCTGCCCGCAGCCTCTGTAGCACCGGTTTGATCCCCGGCCACCAGCCGCCAGGTGAGGGTCCCACGCAGCAGACCTCTCCTGCTGCGTCTGCTGCTCCCCTCAGCAGTGTATTTTGTTGGTCTGCCTGTTCTGTTCCCCGCTCTGGCTCTGGTGAATTCTCTCACCCTCCTGCACTTCTGACTGTACCCAGTGCTTGTATAAATAAATCTTTTTTTTAAAAAAAAAGAAATTGTTTCAGAAAGGTCTTTTTAAAATGATTGCCGACCATCAACGTCCAAGTTTCTGTTCACATGACTGAAATAAAAACCCGGGCCTAGTGTGTTTTCAATTGGTCTCTACCTCATTTATCTATTTGTAAATATCTTTTTGCATTCTTGATGTTCTGTATCAGGGATCAGCAAACTTTTTCTGGTGAAGTTAGACTTTGCGGACCCCACAACCCTGGCACAATAGCATGAAAAACAGCCGTGGGTAATGTGTCAATGAACGGGTGTGGCTGAACTCCATAAAATTTTATTTACCTAAATAGGTGACAGGCTTTAGATCATGTAGTTTGCAGACTCCTAGTCATGCATCTTGGTTGTAAAAGATAATTCGTAACGTAGGGAAATGGTAAAGTTGAAAATAGATGTTTCCTAATCTGATTCAAATTCTCCACGGTTTTCAGAGTTAATAGATGAGTGAGCATCCTTCCATATTTTCTTCTAAGGAGAAAATACCTCTTTAAAAGCCAAGATGGAGTCATAAACATCCCAGTTTACAACTTTCCATGACATTTCAATCAACTTTACTGTACTTAACAGCTGCAGGCATAGCAGCTCCACATCATGCTAATGCGTTAACATCTTCTCACCATCCCTCAGGTGGTTTAAGTTGTTTCCACTTGTTTCCGATTGCAGTGTTGAGGTGAATATGTTTGTATTTTGTGTGTGTGTGTGTCTACCTATTATCTATCATCTATCTAGCTCAATGATTGTGTGTAAACTATATATATGTATATATCTACATACATATTTAATTATCTATTTTAATTATCAGGTTAAAAAATATGTCTTCTCATTTTGTAATCCAAAGTTGCTTCCTTATTTTAAAAGTTGGTATGTAACATCTGGAGCACATCTAGCAAAATGTTATTATCTGTTAAATCTGGATCGTAGGTACATGAATTTCTATTAGTCTTTTCTGCAGTCTTCTATGTATATTAAATCTTTTAATATTGCAAAATTAAAAACAATTTTAAAAGAAAGGGTGGAAAATAACGTGTTCACTCACTGTAAAAATAGCAAAGCCTCATTAAATGGAAAATAGCCCTGGGAGAGAACTCTGTTCATTTAATAAAGCCCCAAGATGCCTGGAGATATGCAAACAACCTAAAATGGGGATAGCAGGGACCCCTAATGTGTACTGAGAGTCACTCTGGGCTCGACAGTGTTCTGAGTGCTTTACATGCATCACTTCACTTTAATAAAAACTGAGGTGGCAAAAAAAATGGAAATAAATTTGACAACTTGCATATGATATGGTAAGTGCCTGTGAGACTTACAAATAAAACAAACATATTGGAAATGCTGAAGTTGGCAGAATCGAATAAAACAAATTGAAAAAAACACGTCAGGAGCATCTTCTCCCATTCTATCACGCAGGTAATGCGAGCACACTGCTTGGACAGACACTTAATTGAAGGAGAAAATGAAGGCAGAGAAAGGCGAATGAGCTGAAGGCATCAGCCAGACGCTCGAGTTAGAAGCCCCACAGCGGCGCTTTCCTGTCTCCCCCGTATGTGGGTAAATCTAGTCCTGCTGACTTGTCTCCTAAATGTTTCTGGATCATCTGCCCTTTTCCTTATGATGCTCAAGTCTAAAATCTTTAAAAAATTATTCACTATTTATGTTTTACCCAGATAATGCAGACAGTGTTCAAAAGTAAAAAGATACAAAAATGTATATAAGGAAATAGGTCCTCCCTACTCCTATCCTTATCCACCCATTTTTCCTCCCAAAGACAACTTGTATTTCCAGCTTCTTGTACACCCTCCCAGAGATGTCTATGCACAGATAAAAACAGAGACATAATGTTTTAACATGAATGGAAGCATACTTTTCACCGAGTTCTATACTTTGTTTTTTTTCCCAATGAACAATACATCTTGGGGCCTCCCCGGTGGTGCAGGGGTTAAGTCTCAGCACTGTGAAGCTATCAGCAGCCACTGTGCCATGAGTTCAATCCCGGACCAGGGAGCTAGTCCACATGGCACAGCAGACCTCTCCATCTTACCCGCTGCTCCCCTCAGCAGTGTATTTCAGTAGATCCACCTGTTCTAGTCCCCACTCTGGTTTTGGTGAATCCTCTCTCTCTCACACACACACACACATACACACACACCCTGCATCTCTGGCCTGCACCCCAGTTCTTGTATGGATAAATAAATTTAAAAAAATACATCTTGCGGATGATTTCATATCAGTACACAAAGCATTCTCCCATCTTTTTAACGGCTGCATAGTATGCCATTATGTAAAGAAGCCATTCATTTGGTCATTTCTTATTTTTTTCACTCCCACCAACAAGAGTGTGCAGTATAATCTTTCAACCTCTTCTTTCCTATATTGTGGTGTATCTGTAGGATAAATTCCCAGCAGGGAACTGCTGGGTGAAAAGGTATAGCATATGTTCTTTAACAGACATTTGCTAGATTGCCTCCCGAGAGGTGTAGCAATCTATATTCCCACCAGCAACGTGTGTTATCAAACGGTTGTTCTCACCAATTTGATGGGTGAATACCATATCATATTTGAGTGATTGAGTGAGCCAATGACAAGGCACTGAACAAAAGAATGATGCAAACGTTCTCCAAAGGGGCTCCAGCTGTCTGCTTCTAGGGATACGAATCAATGCAATAGCACAGCCAAGGAAAGCAGTTTGGGGTGAGTTGCTCTGAACAGAGAGGGGCTGCTCCCCTCAGATCACTTGGGGGAATCCCCCCACCTCCACAAGACTCTCAGGTCACAGGGGAAGCTCTTCCCTTTGTCTTTTCTCCACTGTCCAGACCAGAGCATGCACTCAGCAAACACTACAGAATGAATGAGCACTTTCAGGAGGGGCCAGAGGCTGGGAGTGGGTAGGAGGCAGGGAGGATGGGAGCAGGAACCCCAGGATACACTGGTCATCGATGCTGCTGAGTGTGAAGCGGGTGTTGGAGAATCTGGCGAAGCCATCCCGGTATAGCCAGGCCCGCAGTGGGATGTACTGAGGCGGTGGTGGGGATGGAGAGAAAGAAAAGCAAATAAAGACAAGCACGTTCTCACCTCCTAGCCCTGCACCTGTTTCCTCCACCTTCCTACCCCTCAAGAGTCTGCTCAAATATCAGCACCTTGGATTCCACCACTTCCTTCCTTGGGTGGGGACTGGGGGACGGTGGAGGGGGCATGCAGAAGGGAACAAAATTAATGGGCCCCTTCTGTGCTCCTCCGCCACATGGGACACGCCCCAGCTCGGCTCAGAGTGTGTCCTGGATGCTCCTATCTCCTTGTGCCCAGCAGAGAGTAGAGCACTGTGAGGCTTTAATGTTTGTTGAATGAATGGGTGGAGGGTCTGGAACCTGGTGCTCGCAGACGCTAGCAGTGGACAGCTGCATAAGCAGCAGAGGACCCGTGGGAAAGCCAGATGCTGGGCATCTAAAATGGCAAAGATTGGATCTATTCACCACTCCCACCCCGTGCTCAGCTGCCGTGTCCCTCACCCCCACCCTCTCCCAGACAGGTAAAACCAGACAAGCGCACACAGGTGCCCCCGAATGGCCCCTGCTCCCCAGTCTAGCTGCCCCTCCCTTCCTCTGGAGGAGGGTCTCTGTCTTAGTTACTCACCGACATCACCAGCACGTAGACACGCAGGTCAAACTTGCGGCCTGGCAGGCAAGGAAAGAACTCATGGAACAGATAACGACTGAGTCCCAAGCACCCAGGTTTGGGGGCATAGCAATGGACACAGAGATGCCAGTGTCACCTCCTATCAGGAAGGGTTAGCAGCTGGCACCAAGTAGGTCCTTTATGAATAATTGTTGGGTAAATGCATGAATGAGGAGAATTTTCGTGAACCAAGAAGAGAGTGGGAAGGGCATGCCTACATGCAGGGGACTGTTTTGGACAGCAGCTGGCGTGGGAGAGGGCAGCGTGGACCTCCATCTTTGCGTCTCCGTGCCAGGTGTCAGACTGAACCCATGATAGGTTGCTAAGTCAAGGTTTGTCAACTGACTATTAAAATGACTGTTAAACCACTGTCTGGGTTCTGGCTGCCCACCTTACTTTCATGGGGCTCACACCCCAGAGGAGCACACAACAATAAACTGGAAAACAAATAAATAAAAGAGTCCCGCACAGTGGTGGGTGTTATGAAATAAATCAAGCTGGGCGATAGGACAGGGAAGGAGGGAGGCCTCTCTGAGGAGATGACAGGTGAGCAGAAACCTCAGCAACAACTTGGAGTCACCTGGGAGCAAAGACGGCCCTCTCACCTCCTATCAGGTAGGGATTTTCGATATAACGCTGAGCTACGTAGTTCTCCACGGGAATATCATCTTTCTGGTCATCAGAACTTCTTGTGTCCTACTTGTAATAATAATTGACATTCATTTAGCATTTCCTTCTCATAGTGTGTTAAACACTCTACTTGGTGTCTATCATTTGGTCCTTAAATCAACCCTGCCAGGGAAATACTAATGCTATCCCCACTTTATAGATGAAGCACAGAGAGGGACAATGACCTGCCCAAGGTCACATAGCCATCAGTGGTACAGCTGGGACGTGGACCCAGAGTCTAGGCATTAAACCTCTAGACCTGTGCAGTCTGCTGAGCTCTTTCCTGTGGTTCCCTTCACAGTCACCTTGCGAGGAAACTGAGTTCCAAACGTAAGTCTCACACACTTGATGTCACAAAAGATCCCAGTTGGAAGGAGCACTGGGACTCGAGCATCTGGCCCCAAGGGCAGAATCTTCTACAACCCTACACCCCAAGCTGCTTCAAGACAGATGCAGCCAGACCTTCTGTTCCTGGGACCCTGGGCCAGCCCCACCTATACTCACGTGGCTGCCAGAGGGATTGACTACGCTCCGGGCTGGCTGAACCTCTAAGCTGCTGACCTTCTTCCCAGCATTGCCCTGTCAGTTTCATGAAAGAATCAGGATATGCATGGAGGGTGGAAATTCATTTACTGAGCACCTGCTTTGCACATGCTGGCTTGGTAGGTGCTGGTTGCGTAGATGTTGATATCCTGTCCCCTCACCCACCCTGCACCATTATCACCTCTAAGGCTCAGAGAGGTTCAGCAACTGCCCCAAGACCACACTGTCTCTGAGAGGCAGAGGCAGGACTGCGAATGGCGTCTGCCTACTCTACTGACTACTTCCAGGGACAGGATGGGCTGGGGACTGCCTCATGTGTAGCCTAGGATCTAGAGGAAGAATTAGCCAAATTTCCCCCCTGAGGCAAGCAGAAGGTCCAGGCAAAGAATACAGTGTTGTCAGGTTTTAGGCACATTAATGCATTGCATCCTCATTGCATAGCTCCCACGTACTGGGGCACAGAGAGGTGAAGTAACTTACTCTGAGTCACACAGCTGTTAAGTGGCAATGTCAGAATTTGAATTGTTCCCATTGGTAGACACTTGGGCATAGCTTCTCTGCCAGCCCACTGAGCTTTGAGGGTGGGAAGCAGGGCCAAAGGAGGAGGTGGGGAGCAAGAGGGAGAGGCTAACTCACCTTCCTCCAGTCCATGATGTCCTTCAGCTTCCGGAAGAGGAAGATGCCCTTTCCTTGAGACCGGGCTACCTGGGGGGGGGTGGGGGTGGGGGTGGGGGGTTAAGGACAGAAAGCTCTGGATTGGTGTGGTCCCTTGTTGGCCCCTGTGCCTGGGGCTCCTCGCCAGCATTATTCTGTCTCCATGTCACTCATGGGTCCTCAGCTATCCCCAAAGGAAAGGCTTAGACCAGGCCTTCAACAGAGAAGGTGCTAAGCCTGGTGGGAGGAAGAAAGGGAAGCTCACAAAGGCTTACAATCGCATGAATAATACAAAAGAGAGACAATTAAAAACCCATTTCTAACAGTCCTGGGAACATATCATCCCATTCTTTCTTTGGAAATCAATTTGCCTTCCTAATTAGGCCTTGCTTTGGCTAATACTGAAATCAGTCTGCCTTTACTGAGTCCTGGCATGGATAATTCATAGCTTCCAGAGTCCGGAGGCTGTCACATCATGCAGAACAGTCATCGCCCTCAGAACAGGCATTCCTCCCTCCTGTGACATCCCTGCACAATGGTCACCTGCCTGGCCACATACATTCATGTGCTAGGGAGCTCACTGCCCGCCACCCTCCCCCAGCCCCCAACATAGCCCATTTCATTGCAAAACAAGTCCATTAATAAGGAGTCATCAAATGGCATGTGCTAGATTCTACGGTGTGCTGAGCATAACCCAGATCTCGCGGAGCTTCATGACCTAACCTGTGTGGAACTAAAATTTTTTCTTCTTGTTAAAAATATTGGGGGTGGGGTGAGGAGGGAGAACATGGCGGGGGGCAGGGATGTCTGGCTGCTTTCCTTCTTTCTGTTAATGCTATGGTGTGAGGTGGTGCCTGCTACCACAGTAGCCACTTCATGCCAATGAGGGGACAATCTCATGACAGAGCAACACACTGCAGATGCAGAGTGGGCAAGGAGGAGGAGCTTGGGCTTTTAATGGCATCGTAAGGCACATCCCCAACCTGGACCAACCTACTTCTGGCTTTCTTGTTAGATGAGATTATGAAATGTCTCTATCGTTTAAAGTGCCGCTAGTAACTGTTGTGCCTGTCCCAGGAGATGCCCTCTGAAGAGATAGTCCTTAACAGCGGCATAGAAACTTCCCACACAGAGAATATCAGGTAGACTGGACACCACCTACTCTCTAGTTCCAAAATCAATCACAATACTGCCATAACCTTGCTTCCTCCACCCTCTGTCAAGAGGTGAAGTCAATGTCCTCTCCCCTTGAATCTGGGCAAGGCTTTAGGACGGCCTTGACAAACTGTGTAGAGCAGAAATGACGCGAACATTCTGGTGCAAAGTCATAGGAGGTCGGACAGCCTCCACATAGCTTTCTCTTTTGGGATGGTCACGCTTGGAACCCAGCCACCGTGTTGTAAGGAAGCCCGGGTCACGTGGAGAGACCCACATGGAGGGCAACTGCATCTTCCAGCCTTCAACTCTGGCTGAGCTCCCAGCCAACAGCTGGCACCAACTTGCCAGCCGAGTGAGTGAGCCAGCTTGGAAGTGAATCCTCCAGCCCCTGGTGGAGATGCCCCAGTCCCAGTCAAGCACTGCCAAGCTGGAGGCTCCTGAGCTATAGCTGGAGGCTCCTGAGCTGTACGTGAGATGACTGAGTTTGGAGAGGGAGGGGGGTGCTATTCTACAACAGAACCAGATCCTAACTTGGGGGGAATGGCTCATAATGAAGGCAATGCTGACTGTTCGGGTATTTCCTATGTGCCAGGCACCCAGATTTATACACATTGTCTTGTTAAAGTTTTGGGGGATTGCGGGAGAGGATGTAAGTGATTTTAATATTTGTCAATAATTATGAGTCATTAGCTCTCTCCCCAAAATACCAGTTGCATGTCTTCTTTACTCGAGAGATTAGATAACTATTATGATCTAATTTTAGTTGATATCTTTTCCCTTTCTTTTTTTAATTGATGATTTGCAACTTAAAAATCTTTTATATGGATGGATGTTTACTTGTTTATTCTTTTTTCTTGTAATTGTATTATGTTTATTGAGGTGAAGTTGGTTTTCAACACTGTATATGGCTTAAGGGTATAGGTCCAGATGTAGGATATAGACGTTTATATTACCTCATTTTATAATCAAGGAAAGCTAGGTTACCCGGCCAGCAGGTGACAAATCCAGGATAGTTAAACCTGTGTTTCACAAGGCTGGGGCTCAGGAACCTCCTGAAAGTGCCAGGGGTACCCCAAAATCATGATAAATGATTTGCCACTACTACTTAATAATCAGAAAATATTCATATATTGTTCTTATAAAAAACGTGTTTTCAATTGGGAAAAAATGAATTGATTACTAGAATGAACCACAGTCTGTTTTTGTACCACCTGCGACCAGTCAACCCTCGTCCCCTTGCCACCAGCTGTCCTGCCCCTGTGGCCATTTATCATGTGGCATTCCTTGTGTGGCATTCATTGGTGTTGGAGGGATTGGCAAGCTCCCCATTTTCCTTCAATAGAGCCCCATTTCAATCACCTTGTCCTGGAGGCCCTGCCCTCTGTGAAGGTCTGAATCCACATGGTGAGGGAGTCCGGGCAGAAACTTCGGGAAGTTAAGCCCAAAGGGACACAAAACCAGGATGTCCCTCTTCCTGTGGCAGGTGGAGGTGTGAGGCAGAGAAGCTGGCGCGGAGGCAGCTGTGCTGTGACCAAGAGCAGCTGCCAGTCCACGGGCCTGAAATTGACGATGACATTGAGCCATCCAACAAGTCCTCCCTGGAGTCCACTTTCCATCATTAAAGGAACTGTCCCAGTGCTTGTAAACTTAAATGAAAAGATTTTCATCTTTATTTCCTTAATCCCTAACCAGATTTTCACATATGCTTCTATTATGAAATAGGCGACAAGCCACAATATTGTTCAGGCCTGTGCCTGTGCTCTCAAAAGAAACCACAATATTTTCCCGTCATGTTACAACTATAATATCTGCAAACATTGTTTATGCTCACTGTGACTTTAAATTACAGTAACTATTGAGCCTGCTGCTAGACTTGCTGTAATTGTTCATGGAGAGTGTTGGGTGTTATTTAATATAGTTAAACTTAGTCTGTGCACTTTGCTCAGCTGAACAATGCTAAGAAACACAAAATGGATAAGAAAGATAAGCCATAGATTTGCCATGGAAACCTGGCCATGGGTCCACATGATCCATAGGGGGCTATGGAGAATTCCCAGGAATGTGGAAACAGGGCCAACAGAACCCGCAGGACACCTCCTATGTGGAAGATAGAAAGGCAGAGACGACTCCCCCAGTCATGAAAAAGGAAACCCCAAGGCCTTCTTCCCTAGTAGAAAATTCTGTCTTGCCCCTGATCCCTTGCAGGGTAGTTCAATAAATCTGCCTTTTCTGTTCTCTACTCTGTCTCTTGTGAATCCTGTCAGCCCCGATGCCTCCTGCCTCACCCTAATATTAGGCTGCCACAAAAACACATAACTATTACAGAAAGAACTTTCTAATAGGTTTTGTGTTGGCCATGAGACAGCATGGGCGGGTGGCTAGCCACAGGACAGTGAGGAGAGAGCCACGCCTATCCCGTGCCCAAATCCAGGCCTGGTACCAAATCCAGTACCACCACCTCCCAGTCAGTGACTGAGGACGGTAGGGACCTGGGGCCTGTTCCTGGGAGACAAGGTGTTACAGGGCAACCCCAATATAAAATGGGTTGCCTGACTGTGGGTCCTTACCCGCATGCTTAAAGGGGACTTAAACTGCAGGCATACACAAAACGTTAATCAAAGGTTTATTTACAAGGGAAGGGGAAATGAGGAAATGTACAACTCAGGAAGAAAAGAGAGAAATTCTTAAATGTTTTCTACCCATTCTGCTGACCTGGAATCCCAAATGACCCACCAAGACCAAATGCTGCCTGGCCAAGAGCACAAGCCGAGAGAGGAGCCAACAGAGCGAGACCCACTCCCATGGCTGGTTATAAACACAAGTCTGAGAAAAATGGCTGCTTAACTCAGCCCTTAGGTCCTCGCAACCTCCCTTTGGGGATCATGGGATTTGTAGCTCCCAGTGTCTTGATGGAGTGGGGGTGGAGTCCACAAAGCCTGTATGGAGTTTGCTCAGGACATCCTTTCCTCTAACAAGGGGACTCCTCGGACAACTATTTTCAGCTGAGGCCTCCCCTTGGCCTTGCAGAGCTGCCCTTTGGCTGCAGGGCCGTGTAGGCCCTGTGACCTTCCCTGCCCTCTCGCTGACAGGGGCTGGCACTTCACCCAGCTCCCTCCCCATTTTTCCTCCCAGGCAAAACTCTGACATGTTGGATCTTGTCTTGGCATCTGTTTCTCAGAGGACCCAGACTAACAGTTTGATAACTGTTTTTCAATATAGTTGCTTCCTTTTATAATCAAATGTACTTTATTTTAGGCTTTTAAAAGCACTGTTCTTCAATAGGCCCCACACATTTCACGAGATGCCAGAGTCCGTGGGCATGAAAACAGAACCCTATCTTCTCAGTGAGGCATGTTAACCGGGTTTTCATGTCATTTGCAGCCTGAAGCCACCTGACTCGCCTTTTTCTTTTACTTAGTTTCAACTTTTTTCAATTAAAAGGTTTGCAAAGCTCTGTTTGGGGTAAACTTGTGTTCCCAGAATGTTAAGGTGTGGTTCTTCCAGTCCTGAAGTTTGGACAGAGGTCCCCAAAGCTGAGGACAGCCTAGTGGTGGCCCAGAACGCCCACAGCCTGAGAAGCGCTAGACTAGATCTGCGGACACTCAGGGTGGAGAACGACAGCTAGCAGCCGGCCACAGTCAGCCCCGGCCTCCCAGCCCAGCCGGGGAAGCCAGGAGCAAGCCTGGGCTCGGTGGTCTGTGTCCTGCCCACCTTCCCACCAACTTGGGGGGTCTGCGGTGTGGCAGAGAATGCTTAGATGGGAAAAAAGCTCAGATTGACACAATGTTGACATGAGACTGAACTTTTAGATACCAAATCCAGGGGTCTGTTCTTGGGCTCCCTGAGAGTGATGGAAAAGTTCTGAGATGGGCTGGGACTCAGGCCAGGTGGGAAAGGGCTCCCCCATGGGGGTGTGTAAGGGTCCTAGAAGCTGCCTGCTCCCTGTGGGCCCAAGTGGACCCGCCCTTCCCAGGATTGGAGCAGAGGAGATCAGAGGGAAATGACAGGCCTGTGACTGCCCCACTGGCCTGCCCACCACGACCCTGTGAGGCTGGACCAGGGCCAACTGGGTCACAAAGACAGACCTCATGGAAAGAGCAGAGGGGCTTGGGGACATTTCCCCCCCCCCCCCCCCCCCCCCGTCTAGTTTCCAAATTTAGGGTCATGTTCTATTTTTTAACATTTCCCCACCTCAAAGGAGTCCATACAACAGAATCCCAGGACTAATGCTCTGGCCCAGTGGGTCTCATCGTGGTACCCAGACCAGTGGCACCCTCATAACCGGGTCTGATGGGTAATTTTATGGTCCACTTGGCTGGGCAGTGGCGCCCAGCTGTTTGGCCACACACAGATGTTGCTGTGAAGGTACTGGTGGATGTTATCCCCCTCTAGCCACCGCAGACCTCAAGTAAAGCACAGTGATGTGGGTGAACCCAATCAGTTGAGGCTCAAGAACAAAAACTCAGGTTTCGGGAAAGAGAAGTAACCACTTCGAGACTGTAACATGGAAATCCTGCCTGAGTTTTCAGACACACGCGCGCGCACACACACACACACACACACACACACACACACACACACAGAGTCAAGATTCTGCCTCTTAATTACAGCTGTCGTTGTGTCTGCTGCTAACAAAGGCTGTGGGCTGGCAAAGGAATCAACTTAATATGCGATTGCCGGTTCCCAATTAGCACAAATTACCATTTGTCTAGAGGATAATGCTGCAGGCTGGAATCCGCCCGCCCCGGTGGGTTGCAGTGTTCTCAGTCTAACCCCCTCCACTCGTCTCCAGCTCCAGAGCCTTCCTCTCTGAGCCTTCCCAGCGAGCCTTCCAGCAGGGCTTGCCCAGAGAGGCTCTGGAAACCCTGGGGAAATCCCTGCTTAAGCCCTGTTGGGAGCACCATTGTCTTTTGGCCCCCCTCAACCTCTCACCCTACACTGGTCCCCCCTCTAAGCACCTGTGCTGCTGGCTCTATCTGCACCGGTCTACACCAGCCCAGTCTTCAGGTCCACAGGGAAGGGCTGCTCTCTCCTTCCCAGCCCCCAGCTCCCTTCCTGGGGCCCAGCACAGGAGAATAGTAGGGGGCTTTGATATGCTGTTCAGGGCTAAGGTGGCTCATGGCTTCCTAGTGAGAAACCAGTCCTGGCACCAGGAGGCTAAGGGACTGGTACAAAGTCCACCCCCTCCTTCCATACTCCCTCTGGATGCCAGGCCTTGGTGCATGCAATTCCCTCTCCCTGGAATGCTCTTCCCCTCCTCTGCCCTTCCCCAGGCTGACTCCGACCCATCTTTCAGAGCGCAGCTAAATACTAATTCTCACCACAGCCACTATCTCTTACTGAGTACTTGATATGTGCTTTTTGTGCATTATCTAGTCACATGACAGTATTATACTGAAGGTCCTACAGTTGGTCTCACTTTGCAGATGGGTTAAAAAAAAAAAAAACACAGAGAAATTAAGTAACCTGCCTGAAGTCACACAGTAAGTTGCACAGCTAGCATTTGAACCAAGGGGTTTGGCCTCAGAACCCAACCTCTTACTTTTTCAGAAAAGCCTGCCAGGCTGGGGGAAATCCTGCCGTCTCCTCTCCTGGCACCATTTTCCTTACTAACTCCTAGCACAACAATAATGACACATATATCCTTAGTTTGCATGTGTTCTGTCCTCAACTTGGGCAGAGATCCATGTCTGACCTGCTAAAACTGTATCCCCAGTGGCTAGTTCTATATCTGGCACATGGCAAGTTCTCAGTAAGTACTTGTGGAATGTTTAAATAGGTCTCAGGTTCCTCATCTTTAAAACAGGGCTAATAATCTCTCCTCCCAAGGACCATTATGAGAATTGGGGCAATGCAAGCAAAACACTTCCCACACCCTGCCATTGCCTGCTTTTGTATCTGGAGGAGAAGCAAGGATCTGAGCTCCAAGGAGGTTGTGGATTCCCTGCCCTGATATTCTGAGTATCACTTGTTTATCCAGTGAACACTTATTGGGCACCTACTGTATGCAGCAGTCATAGGTGCTAGGTCCACACACTGCAGAGAAGAGATGGAGTCAGCCTCTCAGGAGAGGCAGACGGTGCATCCAAGGCTGCATTCCCAGGCAGAGTCTGTACTGAAACATGCTGTGAACGCTCTTTCATGAGCCTGGGACACTCACCCCTGCCCACCCCTGTTCTGGGTACTCACAGGCTTCATGATCCAGGTGATTCCTGGGTTTTTGCGAAATTCCTCTACAAACAGATGGTACTCGCAAGGCATCTCAAAGGTTTTGGGGAAGAAGTCGCACTTGGCTGCCTCCACCTTTCCCGCCTCACGCTCTAGCTGCTTCCGGAAACGTTTCAGGTTCTTCACCATATAGTTCTTGCGGGTCAGCTGGGCGGATGGGTGAGGCTTTCCATTAGTGCTTGTGCCCACTGCCCCTCCATCTCCCAGTGCTGACCATCCCACCAACTGCCCCACAAAGCCTATTTTCTGACCCACAAAATAGCAATAACACTAAGAATGACTCTGACTGACAGCCTGCTATTCTACAATTACCCCAGCTTTACTGGCCAGGAAACTGAGTCCTGGGAAGATTGTCAGTTGCACAGAGCTATTCATCTAATGGGCCACACCACTGGGTTTTGACTCTGAAGTTCACATTTCTAACCACTAAGGTTCACTATCCTTTTAAAATCTCCCACCACTAGCTCCTGCAGTTCCATTTTTGTGGTCTGATTCCTCCTGGACATCCCTTCCAATTCTAGACTCCAAACTACTCAACTTGTCTCACCCTGAAATCACCATAATTCCTCAAGCATCCATTCCTTCAGCCTCCTTTACACCCCAAGTCAGCCTGCCCCTCACATATCTTGGTGCTGAAACACCAACCAGCCCCTGACCTTAATCCCCATCCAAGAAGTCTGTTCTTCAGGTCTTAGATCCTAGCACACTCTTCAGGTCTTAGATCCCACGCCACTCGCCGACTCCTCGTACACATTGTGCATCCAGCCCCTGCCTGGCGTGCAGGCCCAGATTCTCTTACACTATTCCATTCTGGTCCAAACCAGCTCTTGCTCATTGTCACGCCCAGTGCACAAGTTGGCTGACTCAGCACCAGGCCTGCCCTGCTCACCTCATAGTGGTTCCGGAAGTGGCTGATCCGCACATGCTCGTCCATATAGGTGTGGTCAAAGTTCTCCCGGAGCCAGCTGACGTCACACCAGTAGAAATCCCACTCCCCTTCACTGGCGGTGGAGTGGGACAAAGATCACAACCTGAGGACCTCAGACTCCTGGGGCCCTAAGAGGTGCAGCAAGGGGCACGCAGCATGTGTCCATCAGGAGTCTCAAGGCAGCCATGGGCCAGCTGCCCAAGCCAGCTTTGCTAGGCCAGAGAGGAAACTAGAGAATTGTTGCCACAAAAACCCGGGCTTCTGGCTTCCTTTGGACAATCAGTAATCTGGCCACATTGAGCCCAGATACACTGGGCTCAGCCCAGACATCCTGGGCTCACCCTGAGTTACACTGAGGCCTAATGGGTCATCACTTTAGACAGGGCAGACCCTCTCCAGGTCACTGTCCCACCACTCCTGCAGCCCCTGACAGCCAGCCCACCTCAGCTGACCGTGACACCTGTCTGGGCCCCTGAAAGCACCGAAGCACACACTCAGCCCACATCACCAAGTGGTAGAATCAGGTAACACTTGCAGAAACCACCCCCCCAAGACCTCCTCTCACTGAATCCTTACTGCAACCCCTAAAGTGACTATCACCTTCTCTGGAGCCCTAACACAGAGATAGGCTTGCGCCCCGAGGACATGGCCACATCAGAACTCATACCCAGACTTGCCTGACTCTACATTCTATCCCTGTTCACCACCATGCCAGGGAGCGGGACAGGAAACCAGACTAATCTACCAAATCCAAATACCGGAGCTGGGGTACAGAGAAGAGGTACTTAAAAAAGACGAGACAGGAAATAGAGTAACAGCATGATTGGTTCCAGGTTTTTTGAGTAAAAAATTACAAATAAAGGGCCTCCCTGGTGGCGCAAGGGGTTAAGTGTCAGCACTATGAAGCTATCTGCAGCCACAGCAGCACCAGTTCTATGCCGAGCCAGGGAGATGACCCACATGGCACAGCAGACCTCTCCTGACTCGCCCACTGCGCCCCTCAGCAATGTATTTCAGTCGATCTATCTGTTCTGTTCCCCACTCTGTCTCTGGTGAATCCTCTCGCCCCCCACACCTCTGGCCTGTACCCCAGCTGTTGTATGCATAAATAAATCTTTAAAAATGAAAGAAAGACACCCTGACAGTGACTGCTAATTAAACACTGGCCCCCTGCCACAGTCTTTCTGGGTCACCCAGAGGAACTAGGGGAAAAGGAAAGGGAGACACGGACCTGGGAGACCAAAGGAAGGCGGGGTGAGATTGGGTGGGCTGTGGGGCTTACTCTTTTACTTCCACCCAGCCAGGCCTGTGGCGAAGGACATCCATGAGCGTATTCACAAGCGTGGCCTTGAATCGGATTGAGACTCTCTGCTCTCTGCAAGACAAGGCAGCAGAATGCTCGCTTGGGACCAGCGACTTCCCTGGCGTGGTCCAGGGGTCGGGAGGAGGGGAAGAAAGATCACTCCCATCACTCAAAAGGCCAAACAGAACTACTGAATTTCAGAGTTTGGCATCACAGCACACAACACTTAATAATAAAATTGAGAATTATAAAATTTTTGAAAAATAATAAGAGTCATTTTATTCAATGCCTACTATGTCCCAGTGCTTTACATGTGCCACAGCTCATCTTTACAGTTAATGGTAAGTATCTGCAAATCCTTTTTTCTGGGATTTATTTGGGGAAATGACATAGATGTACTTTGAGTTATTTCTCCTACTAGTACAATTAAAACCACCAAGACATCTATAAAGCAGATACAAGAAGACTCTGAAAAGTGGAAGGACTGGCTAGAAACCTCAGGACCCAAGGAACAAATTGGTTGTAAATTCCCTGGGTTTTCTTTTTGCCTCATAGATCCCAGATGTAGAAATGAAGAAACTGGCAAGCCCGAAATGCCAATGGGCACAAAAAATAAAGCTCCAACAAAAGCCTGTTCTTTCTAGTCAAAGAACCAGAAAAAAGACAAGCTAGCAAGACAAAAAACTTAGTAACTATTCTGCTCAGCCCAACCCCCCCCACAAAAACAAGTTCCCCCACTTATATCATTAGGGAACTACAAATCAAAACTATAATGAAATGCCACCCCATACCCACTGAGATGGCTTCTATGAAAAAAAAATAAACCAAAACCAGAAAATAACACATGTTGGCAAAGATATGGAAAAAATGGAAGCCTTATGCATTGTTGATGAGAATGTAAGCTGGTGCATCTGCTGTGGAAACCAGCACGGCAGTCCCGCAAAAGAGTCAAAACAGAATTACCATGCAACCCAGCAAGTCCACCTCCGGATGCATACCCAAAAGAATTGAAGCCAGGTCTCCAAGACATATTTGTACATCCACGTTCACAGAAGCAGCATTCACAATAGCTAAAATGTGGGTGCAAGCTAAGTGTCCACCAACAGATGAACAGATAAGCAAAACGTGGTTTACATATACAATGAAATATTACTCAGCCTTAAGAAAGAAGGAAATCAGGCCTGCCTGGTGGCGCAAGGGGTTAAATCTCAGCACTGTCAAGCTATTGACAGCCACTCCAGCATGAGTTTGATCCCCTACCAGGGAGCTAACCAACACAGTGCAGCAAACCTCTCCTGTCTTGCCCGCTGCTCCCCTCAGCAGTGTATTTCAGTAGATCCACTTGTTCTGCTCCCCACTCTGTCTCTGGTGAATCCTCTCACTCCCCATACATCTGGCCTGTACCCCAGCTCATGTAAGCATAAATAAAATATATCTTTTAAAACAAATAAACAAAATCATAAAGAAAGAAAGAAATCCTGACAAATACCTCAACATGGATGACTCTTGAGGACTTTACGTTAAGTGAAATAAGCCAAAATGACTTGTCCCAAAAAGACAAATACTTGCATGAACCCGGGTATATAAGGTACTTAGAGAAGTCAAAAATCATAGAGACGGAAAGTAGAATAATGGTTGCCAGAGGGATGGAGGGCATGGCTTAGTGGGCATAGAGTTTCTGTTTCACTGATGATACAGTTCTACAAGATGCAGCAGCCCTACGTGTCCGTAAGGACAAAGTTAAGACAATCATGGAGACATTAGTTGTCTCGCACTGTTGAACCACTGCCCCAGACCTCCAGACTCTTTGTTATATGAGGAAAATAGACATTTTAAAAGCTACTATAAGTTCGGTGTGAAGCAGAGGATCAGGGCAGAATTGAAATTTGAGTTGTCAAGTCATCACATGGTTGTTGAAGGAGGTAGGAGAGAGAAAGACAACACAGTCTCTGGAATCCAGCAAGCTCTGCCCCTGACTGATCCCATGGTTTGGAACAAGTTACCTAGCCCCTCTAAGCTTCAGCTTCCTCATCTAGAGAGAGGACACATAGTAGTGTCTACTTTAAAGGACTGTGGCCTGAAGTCTACAGACAGTGTGGCAGTGCCACAAGCACAGGCAACTAAGTAGATAGAAGAAAACAGATTCTAGAGATAGACCCACATATACACGGTCAGTGTAAATTTAGATAATACAGGCGAAGTGACTAGCCCAGGGGCTGGCACATGGTAAGTGCTTAATAATTGTCAATTTTTATTATCACTATGATTATCATCATCATCATTAAAATAAAGAAGAGGGAGGGATGGAAGAATATAGGAGAGGAACAGATGGAAGGCAGGCAATGCTGTGTTTATTGGATTGGGTGGGTCCACTTACCGCTCTTTTCCCTTTGATAATCCATGGCCCTTATAATTTTGATTCTGCAACGAGAAAAGAAAGTGTTGCAACCATCTTTTGCATATCCACCCTGCTTTATAGCTCAGCTTATTGCAAGTACTAAGTGCTCAAGCCATCAGCTGCAACACAGCTCAAATTCCGACACATGAAGTTCTAGCCTGGCCAAGGTTTCACTGGTCATTGTATGCCCAGAAATTTAGTTCTTGAAACGAACCCCCAAGTACCGAAGGTCCCCTGACTGTAGACATGACGCATAGGCATAACAAGTATAATGAATACCCCATTTTCAATGTTCATAAGAACTAACCTTGAATCCCAGTACTGAGGACTGAGCTCAGCAGGCTCTGTGGGAAGGAGCTAGACCTGTGCTAATTTTGAATGTTTGATTGGACCCAGGATCCAGGAGCGGGCTGGGTCAAACACTCAGATATATGCTCATTTTTTCCACTCAAAATGGACCTCTCAATTTTCCAAAGAGTGGTGGGTATTGTTCTGCTTCTACCCTCAGTCTTGATAAAACTCATACCTAAAGTACAAATTAAAAGAGAACCTAAAATTGATCTTGTGCAGGATGATTTCACAGCTTGCACAGTCTTGCCATCTGCATTAGTTTTCTAACATGCATAACAAATTACCATACTTAGGGACTTACCAGACTTAGGACTATCTACACTTGAACAGTGTAGATAGAACCTCTACTCACATCTCACAAGGATACAATCAAAGTGGTGGCCTGGATGATGGTTTCTCACTCAGGACTCAGGGTTCTCTTCCAAGACCATCCAGGTTGTTGGCATAATCCACTTGCTTGGGATTGTATGACTGAGGTCCCTGTTTACTTGCTAGCCATTGACTGGGGCCTGCTCTCAGCTTCTAGATGCCATTTACTGCTGGTTTCAACTGTCCAGTACTGGGTGTTTTCCTTCATTGAGGCCAATGGGAATATGTCTCTGACTTCTAGTCCTCCCCCCATTTGAGTCAGCTACAATGGAGTCTAATATAATGTGTTGTATTCATGGTAATAATGATCCCATTAAATTTACAGGCGCTACCCACACTCAAGGGGAGGGAAGTATACAAGGTATATATTCTGGGGATGGAAATCTAAGAGGCGATCTTATAATTCTGCCAACCACACTATTCTAAATCCCCAAAAGCCAGTGGTAGGTGATAGCAGATAGAGGAAACTGGCAAAAATAAGACTTCCACCCCAAAGCAAGTTAAATCATATTCCATTTATTTGTTCAAACCCTCCAACCCCAGCACTAGTTGAGCCCTAATCTTTGTAGGTTATATCTTTTATACTCTTATGCTTGCTTTCAATTCCATTTTCCATGTTGCTACAGTTTTCAGTTGAAAAGCTTTTCTTTCCTAATTGAACTATGATACATTGACTATTGAATATTCTGTCAAAATTCAATTGATTGTGTGTATGTGGGTCTATCTCTAGAATCCGTTTTCTTCTATCTACTTAGCTGCCTATGCTTGTGTCACTACCATACTGTCTTAATTACTGTCTTAATTACTGTAGCATTCTTGTAAATCTTTAAATCAGGTAGCATAAGACTTCCAACTTTTTTCAAGCTTATCCTTGCAGTTTTGGTTCCTTTCACGTCAATGTAAATTTTAGAATCAGCTTGCTAATTTCTATACAAAAAAGCATGTTGGAAATTTGAATAGGAGTATATTGAATCTATAAGCATTTGGGTAAAAGTGACATCATAAAGTGTTGTCTTCCAATTCATTAATATGGGTTAGCTCTCCATTAGTTTGTCATCTTTAATTTCTTTCCACAATGTATTCAATGTAGAAGTCTTGAACATTTTAAAAATTACGCACAGGTATTTAATTTTATCAAACTATCATAAATGGTAACTTAAATTTCATTTTCTCATTGTTTGATGATAGTATATTGTGGTAGACAGAGTAATTCTATCCTAGAAGATGTCCATGTCCTAATCACCAGGACCTGTAAGAATGTTACATTCTGTGGCAAGGGAAATTAAGATTGCAGATGGAACTAAAGTTGTAAACCAATGGACTTTAAAATAGATTATGCTAGATTATCAGGGTCGGTCCAATGTAACCAACCACTCAGGGTTTTTTTTATGTTATGGAAAGGAATAAAAGTAATGAAGTGCCATTCATGAGAGGTGGAATGCAGGGTAAGCAGCAGATTGGGGTAGGAGAGAGCTGGGCCCTAGAATAAATCATTTCCCTTCTTTGGGTATTCTTTTCCCACTCTTCAAGTGGGGGAGTTGACCTTTGCCCTCCTAGAGGACAGGGGCTAGTCTGTTTGCCTATTGACCAGTACTGGGTTCGGGTTGGAAAAGGCACTAGTTAGCGTGGGTATTGGGGGGCTAGGGGAGCTAGAAGGGGGATGAATGGTTTGTCAATGCCTGGACGGGTAGGCAAACAGGTGGCAGGATGAATCGACCTCTAAGAACTTTCCCAGGTCAAGGATCCAGAAATTCTTTACTTCCTCCGGATTCAGAGAAATTGATCAGTACTGTTTAGAATCCTAGAGTTTCGCAAACTTCCCGCCAGCGGGCCGGACTGCGCGGGTCCAGCTCGCGCGCGCGGCACGCCGGGACTTGTAGTTTTCCCTCCGAATTAATTAATCGTTTTCATTCTCAGAATCCCTCCGCGATCCGCCCCTCCCCGCCTCCCTCCCCTCCCCCAAACCCCCCTGGGACGATGAAAACATCTGGATCAGGCGACCCTCCTACCTTCGGTCGCGACATGACACGATTCCCGAGGGACTGACCCAAACCGCCACCGCGTCCCACGCCAGCGTGCGCGTCCCGTTGTCAAGGCGACAGAAGGTCGGGCCGGCTGCTCGGATTGGATGAACCCGACACTCCTCCCGGGGCAGTAAGCGTGGCTCTGACCCCAAGTTCTGGAAACTCGCGCGTCCAGACACCTCAAACCCCTTTATTCCTTCAGCCTTTCTCTATGAGCCCTTTGATTCCTCGACCTTGAGGGCACACCCAGCCAGATTCTGGCTGCCCCCCTCGGCAACTTTCTGCCCATCAACCTCCAGCTGCACTAGCTTGACCTAAGGACCCTGAGTAGGAAAAGTTGTCAGTTATTGGTAAATACAATGGTGCTAAGTTTTCTTACTTGGTCCCTCACTAGGTCACCCAGTCAGTCGGTCTGTTGGCAGCGCGACCACTACTGCTTTCTTCATCACTCTAATTCTTAGGCACCAACTCTATGCCAGGCCTCTCCTCAACACCTGCTATGGCCTCCTGACCAGTCTACTAGTGTCCACTCTTGCCTTATTGGTTACAATTCATTCTCTGCCCTGCTGCCAAAGAGTTCTTTAAAAACACAAACCCCGGCCTCCCTCGTGGCACAAAGGGTTAAGATGCAACCTATGAAGCTATCTGCAGCCACTGCAGTAGGAGTTAGATCCCCAGCCCAGGCCCACCAGGGAGCTAACCACATGGCGAAACAGACCTCTCCTGACTCACCAGCTGCTCCCCTCAGCAGTGTATTTCAGTTGATCTGCCTGTTCTGTTCCCTACTCTGTCTCTGGTGAATACTCTCACCCCCCAACTCCTACACCTCTGGCCCATACCCCAGTTCTTTGAATAAAATAAATTAAATCTTAAAAAAAAAAAAAAACCCAGCACCACAAACCCTACAGTGTCTCTCCTCTGCATATAACCTGATCTGGCAACTTATTAGCTATTGCCTCTCCTATGGATTCCCTGTTCTGTGCCTCACTTTCCCACTGCCCAGGGATTTATATACCAATCATACCATAGCTGATTAGAGACCATTTTAAAAATTATTGTTATTTGTAACAGCAATGATATAGGAGTAGATCTAACAAAATATATGCAAGACATTTCTTTACATTCTTATTAAGCATATATTCTATGCCATGACATAGTCTCAATTTTGAACACACAGCAGTGGCCAAAACCAACAATCATCTGCTCTTGTGGAGTTTATATTCTCAAGAGAAATTACAAAGTATTATTGAAGGACATTAAAGAAGGCCTGAATAAAGGGAGGGATATACCATGTTCGTGGATGGGAAGACCCACTAACATAAAGATGCTATTTCCCCAAATTCAATCATAATGTTTAATAGACCTTGTCAAATAAAAAAAAAGTATTTGTGTTGAGAAAGAAGACATTTCTCTGCCTATCAAGTTCCATTATGATTCAGAGAGAATCAAATATCAATGGAATTACAGTGGGATCCTAGGAACAGACACAGGTCTGTGTGTGTGTGTGTGCGCGTGGTAGTGGTATGAACTTGATATACAATAGAGATGGCATCCTATATCAGTGGGAAAAGCATGAAGGACTCAGTGAATGGTACTGAGAAACTGGCTTTCCTTATGAGGGAAAAAATAGATGCCTAATTCAAGTGGATTAAAGAATAAATATGACAAATATTTCAAACTATCAAAAGTAAATGTATGTTTGTAGTTTCGGGACTAGGAAGGGTTTCTTAGATAAATAAAAATAAAGCACAGTTCATACAGGAAAGAAATTGATCTATGACTCTCAAATTTAAACTCACATAGCAAAAGACATTGTAAATTTGATTAAAAGACAAGCTACAGACAAGGAGAAAAACCTGCAACACGTATAACAAAAGACTAGTACTGAAAAAACTCCTACAAACCATTAAGACAATAACTTCCGCAAAATAAAAGAAGAAGAATGAGCAAAGAATATGAAAACAAAACTTTAAGCCAAGAGGGAACCTGTAATAGCCAATAAGCAAACTGAGGTATGCAAATCAAAACAATTATAAGATATGATTTTAAATACATTACTTAGACAAAAATAGAAAACATACATCACTGCCAAGTATTGTGAGGATGTTGGGAAACAGGAAGCTTATAGGCTTTTGGGACACACATATTCGGAAGGCATTTTGGCAACATCTCATAAAGTTGAAAATGCATACTTCTTATAACCCATCAGTTCCATTACTGGACATATATCCTATAGGCTCCCTAAATGCAGCTGCACAACCCAGGGACTACCTTCCATTTTGCTACTAACATGCCAAGTGACAAACTTGACTAAAGAAATTTATACATATGACATCTGTGCATAAGTCATATGTATAAGTCATGCTTTTTGCAATTCTTTTTAATGGTGAAAATATTAGAAACAATCTAAATGTCCATTAGTAGGGGAAATAGATGAATAAAGTGAGATATGTTCTAATAATAAAATACTATATAGTGATAAAAAAGAACAATCCAGATCTAAATTAACATGAAAATATCCCCAAACCTATTGTTAGGTGAAAAAAAGAAGGTTGTAGAAAGATAAATATCTTTAAAGGTTAGAATTTGTGTAAATTATAGACACACAGACAAAAGTATATCCTATATACTTATCAGCATAGAGGTAATAAATGTTTACAATTATGGACTGGAAAGGGACACATCAAATTCATGATAGTGGTTGCCTCTGTGGAGAGAGTGTAGAAAGAGAGGAACGGAGAGGGCACTTCAACAATTTCAAGCTTACTTGGAATTTTTTTTTTTATATCACGGTTGAAGCAAATAGGTCAAAGTGTTTGTTTTTTATTTTTGTTTTTTTTTCCTAAGTGATAAACACACAAACCATAGCAATAAAAAAAAAATATCATTACTATGTTAGAAATAGTTTAGGGTGCTTTGGGGATGCACAACAGTGGGGTCTAACCAACTCTAACTGGGGTTGGCAAAGACTTCCAGGAAGAAATGGGAGTTAACCCAGTAAAGGGGATAAGAAGAACTTTCTAGGAGGAGGGAATGGCATGTGCAAAATTGGATGTCAGTGAGGTGTGTTTGAGGAAGTGAGTGCAGACGAGGAACTAAGAGAGATGAGGCCACCAAATATGTATGTTTTCCTTCCTTTTTTTTTTTTTTTTTTTTTTTGATTTTTTACAAATGTGGAGACAGAGCCCTAGCAAGGGGAGCAGAACCCAGACCTGCTAACTCCATGTCAATTGTTCCATGAAAATACTAGTGACGATGGTGATAATGATGACAGATCGTGCACGTCTCTGTACCAGGAACTTTAAATACATTCTCACTCAATTTCACTACAGACCTATGGGGCTTTTTTCCTTCCTATTTTATAGATGATGAAACCAAGACCCATTGAAGTTAAGAAATAGGCCCAAGATCACAGTGGCAGAAGCCAAATCCCACAGACCTCATTTGCTATGCTAAACAGGTTGGGTTTTTTCCTAAGAGTGTTGATGAGTTTATTAGGTTCTTATTGCTTTGTAGTTATCACAAATGGAGTGACATAAAACAACACAGATCGATTAGCTTATACTTCTTGAGATCAGAAGTCTGAAATAGGTCTCACTAGGCTAAAATTAAGGGGCTAAGTTCATTCTGGAGGTGCCAGAAGCCTCCTTGTTTTTCTACCTGCGTTCCTTGTCTCATGGGACCCCTCCAGGTTCAAAGTCAGCAATTGTACCACTGCATCTCTGCTCTGGCATCACCTCCCCTCTGACTCTTTCTCTTGCTTCCCTCTTTCACTTAAAAGGACCCTGTTAATTACATTGAACCCACCCGAACAATCCAGGATAATCTCCCCAAATCACCGTCAGCAGATCAGCAACCTCAGTTCCATCTGCAGTTTTAATTCTCCCTTCTCTTTAACATAACATATACACAATTTCCAGGATTTAGAGTGTGGGCATTTTGGAGGTGACCATTATTTTGCCTACCACAGTGAATTATTGAAGGGTTTTAAGCAAGGGGAATGACGAGGTGTTTTAGTTTACTGATTTTTGACACAAGGATTTGATTACGTTCACAGTGCTATGAGTCAGGAATTTAGGAAGGGCTTCCCTAGGCACTTCTGGTTCAGGTGATGGCTGGAACAGCAAGGGTGGAGGCTGGGCAGGCACCTCTTTGTATATATCCCCTCATCCTCCATGTGGTCTCTTGCAGGGGTGCTGTTTTGGGCTCCCTCATAACATGGCTTCCAGTGAGGCTGCCTGCTTACATGGCAAGTGGAGGCTACAAGAGCAGGAGGTCCAGTCAACAAGGAGGAAGCTGCTTCCTCTCTGACAGTCCAGCTGTGGTAGCCCTGTAGCATCCCTATGCTACAGTCTATTGGATATTTAATTTATATAAAAAATACCCATACTTATATTTTAACATCTTCATAATATTGGTTTTCTAAAACAGTCACTTCATGACATTTAAGGCAAATTCGACTTTGCAATAATTAACACTTTCAAAGGCTGAACAGCACATATTAAATGTGTAAAATCTAGCCACTATATTGCTTCTTTTTAGGGTTTTTATCATGGTAGAGTTCTTTTGCACATGTGATTTGATTATCCTCCCCACCACCACGACCACCAATAACCAAGTAGAAGTGAAAAGCTGTAATAACTGCTCCCGCATGGATGAAGAAACAGACCCGGGGGTCTGGCTGCCTTACCACGTTCACAGAGCTGCTGAGGCCAGGGCCATGAACATGAGCTAGGCTTCAGTCCCTTTGCCAGCATTTCTATATGCTACCCACTGGGTGGGGCATTCTGGGAAAGTCAAGTCACATGTCACCCCCAAGCCCACAACGTGGGACATGCTAGATCCCTCATTCTCCTCTTTAACCTTCTCTCTTACCCCCTCTCCTTGGCTCCCACCTCTGCAGTCCCTCTGGATCTTCCCAAGAGTCAAGCTTTCCCCACAGCCTTGCCTGTACTGTTGTTTTTGCTGGAAATGTGCTCTCCACTCTTTAAATAGCTGGATCCTTCTTATATGCCAGGCCATCTCAAATGTCACCTATTCAGAAAGATTCTTTCTCCCCCCTCTTCATTTCCTTTATAGAAAATGTGACCATTTGTAAATGCTGTGTCTATTTGCCTGTTTTGTTCCCCTCCCCGCAGAGACCTGACATTGTTATGTAGCTACAAGCCATTTGTGGCTACTGAGCATTTGATTTGTGGCTAGTCTGAAATGAGATGTGCTCTGAGTATAAAATATACACTGGATTCTTAAGGACATAATACAATTTTAAAAAAAGATGTAAAACGTGTCCTTAACTTTGCAATATTGACTACATATTGCCATGGTAATATTTTGGACCTTCGTAATAATATTTTGGACTTAACAACCTGTCCCTACTTTTCTAATGTGGCTACTGGAAAACTTCAAAGTATACACATGCTCACATTCTATTACTATTAGGCAGTGCGGGTCAGGCTGTTAGCCAGGGATGGCTGGGATCATCTGCTTACTTGTATGTCCCTAGAACCTACCACAGGGGAGGTGCTTAGTAAAACTTCGCAGAATAATTTGGTTTTTATGAGAACCCTGGGGCTCAGAGAGAGCTGAGAATTGGAGGAATCCCCCCGTAAGTGGTGAATCTGAGGAAGAAAAAACAGTTTTCTTTTTCACCAGTCACTGCTCCTCACTTGGGTCCTGTCCTGCTCTGTGCTGCCATTCCTGCCACTGTCATCCACTCCGATAGATGAAGGAGGGGGAGGCAATGGCTGGAAGAGCAAAGTCGGCTCAGCAGTTTCTATTTCAGTCCCACAGGGGGTGTCTGGTTTCAATTATTTTACATTCTTCAGCTTTGGTCCTAGTAGTCAGGAAGGGCCCCCCTGAATGCACGCACGGAGATACCCAGAAAGGGTAGCTGGGGCTCCAAGGAGACTTGCCCAGGGTCACACAGCAGGTCAGAGGTGAACAGGGTCATATAACTAGATCTCCCCACTGGTCTCCCAGGACAGGACCCTGCCTCTGACTATACTGTTGTAATCTCCTCTACTGCAAGGGCCCAGGTGACTCCCTTACCTCACCCTGTCTCCTCACATTTACCTCTGATTTCTTGGGGCTGCTAACTCAGGAACCTAGCAGAGCTGACCCAAATGGACCATCCTTGTAGGGGCCAAAGTGAATGGGAGGAAGGGATGGGAGGATGGATGGGTGGTGGGTGGATGGTTGGATGGGTGGGTGGGTGGGTGGGTGGATGGATGGATGGATGGTTGGATGGGTGGTGGGTGGATGGGTGGATGGGTGGATGGGTGGGTGGATGTGTAACAGGGTGGTCCCCAGGAAAGGGGGATGTTCCCTGCCCCACCCAAGGAAGGGTGGAGCTGAGCAGGGAGAGGAGAAGCTGCAGAAGAGACTGAGGAAGGAAGCAGGATGGAGCCAGGAAACCTGGAGGAAGCGCATGGAGCCTAGAGACACGTGAAGAAACTGCGCTTGTCCTTTGGTCGTGGACTGGGTGACACAGATGTGGGTGAGACCCGTGGGGAGGTGACAATGGCAGCCTTTATCTTGATGTTGATTTTGCTCTTTTCCTTCCGGGCTTGTCCGGTTGTTTGTGACCCTTTGCTGTGGGTCCCCACTGGAAGATGCTTTAGACTTGTGGCAGGCTGTGGGGCCTTGTTCTGGGCCGATCCCATATGGATGGACTTTTACCCACGAGAGGACGGGTAACTTTGGGTGCTTCATTTAGAAACTAGACTCTTTGCCTTTCCTGTATTGTTTCCTAGTTTTATTAAAGTTCCTTCCCATTAAAGTCTCCTATGTTTTGTGTTGATGCGGCGGATGGCAGAACCCATTTAGAATAGGCAGGTTTGCGGGGTTTGGGCTGCCCCCTCCCTGTCCTATAACAGATGGATGGATGGGTGGATGGATGGATGGGTGGATGGGTGGATGGGTGAGTGGATGGATGGGTGGGTGGGTGGATGGGTGGATGGATGGGTAGATGGGTGGGTGGATGGATGGGTGGATGGATGGGTGGATGGGTGGGTGGGTGGATGGGTGGATGGATGGGTAGATGGGTGGGTGGATGGATGGGTGGGTGGATGGGTGGATGAGTGGTGGGTGGGTGGATGGATGGGTGGGTGGATGGGTGGATGAGTGGTGGGTGGGTGGATGGATGGGTGGATGGGGGGTGGATGGCTGGGTGGGTGGATGGATAGGAGAATGAACAGATGGGAAGACAGATGTTTGGGGCAGTGTGGAGGAGATGGTTGACAGGTGGGAAGCCTGCCGGGGTGGGGGTAGCAGGAGAGAGGATCTACAGAAGAAAGGTGTAACCTCTTTCCTCATCTCACACAGAATCTGAAAAGCAGAGGACCCTTAGCCATCACAGTCCAACCCCCATGTTTCTAATGGAAAACCTCCGTTGAAGGAGCGGGGTGTTTCGCCCCAGGGCCCGCAGGAGGTCCAGGCAGAGCCAGAGCTGGGATGAGTCGCTGGTCCCCAGCTGGGGGCTCGTTCCCTGCCCCCCACCCTCCCGCGCCAGACAGTGCCAGGGTGGGGGAGCGGCCCCGCCCCCACCTCCGGAGGTGGCGGCCCCACGCGGCCCGACAAGCTGCCGTTGTCCCGCGGGCCCCGGGCCCGGCACACTGGGGCTTTGTCCAGCCCCCTGCCGCGACCCGGGGGGGCCCCACATGACCGAGGGGGAGGAGGAGCCTGCGGCGGTACTGGCAGCGGCGTCGGCGGCGGCTCCACCGCCATTTCCCTCCCTGGCCGGGGGTCGGCGGGCGCTGGCGGCGGCGGGGCAGGGCTGGGCGGGGCCGCGGACGCCGGGCCCCCCGATCCCCGCCCGGCTGCAGGCGCCGGGCCTGGGCCAGCCGGACAGCTGCGACCCGAGCGCTCTCCGGGCGGCGAGCTGGGGGTGCGCCCGGACCCCCGGCCCCGGGATCATGGGGAATGGCATGACCAAGGTAGGGGAGCGGGGTTCGCGCCGCCCACCCCTGGTCGCCCCCAGCCCGGCCCAGCGCCGGCTCTGTCTGGGTCTCTCCGCCCGCCTCTGCCCTTCTGTTCCCTGCGAGTCTCTGTATCTCTGTCTCCTGGGGCTCAGACGCGGTGTCTTCAGGGGCCTGTGTCTCTCGCGGACCCTGTATCTCTGTGTGTCTGCTCCTGCCTCTGTCTCTGTGTCTCTCCGGTGTCTCCAGCGTCTCTGCCTCTGCCGGGCGCTCTGTTTCATTCTGTCTTTCTGTGGCTGTCACTCCGGGACTCTCTCTCCAGGTCCCTCTCTCTGTCTCCATGTGTCTGTCTCGCTGGTCTCTGACCCCAGTGACCGGCTCCCTGGGGCTGTTTCTCTATCCTTCCCCGGCTGCTCCTGCATTGCCTGTCTCTGTCTTCCTCTCCCCAGCTCAGAATCCCACCCCCCCACTACCCCGTGCCCCTCCCTCAGGCCTTTCTACCCCCCTCGCTTTCCAATTACTCCCACCCAAGCTGTCTCCCCTCCCCAAGCTCCCCCAGCCCACGCCCCTGCCTCTCTCAGAGTCCAGGTCCAGGAGAGGGAGGAGGTTGTTCCTGGGTCCTGACACCCTTCATGGGACAGAGAGGCCGCGGCCCCCAGCTGTGGATTCTGAGGTTGCAGCCCTCGGGGTTGACCCCTGCCTGTCTTTCCTGTAGGTACTTCCTGGACTCTACCTCGGAAACTTCATCGGTGAGCACTGCCCACTCTGTCCCAAGGCCGTGGCCCGTGTCCACCATTCATGCTCTGGCCCACGCACCTTGGGAAAACTGAGGAATGGGGCCTGAGGGCGGGGAAGCATGCCAGACTGTGGAGGGGCCACGGGGAGGTGGGGAGAAGAGTTTCTGAGCACTGAAGGTCTCATGGGCCGGGCAGTATCCCTAGTGCCAAGGGTTCAGAGAGCCAGACACCAGGCAAGTCTGCACCCCCTCTGAGCCTCAGCCTCTCCTTCACACAGTACCACCTGTCTCTAAGGGCTCTTCCTACCGGAGGTTCTGGGTTGAAGTCTGTCTGGGAGTTCCAGCTAGAAACTGGAACCCTTTCCCCCCGCCCCCCACCCCGAACAACCTCCTCAGAAGAAGAGAGGTCTCTGGAGATTGGACTCTATCTGGCAGATTTCATTGGTCAGCACTGTCTGTCCCAAGGCCATGCACTCTACCTGTCCCAGGCTTGTGCTAAGAGACAGGCTGGAAGCTTCAGCAAGGCCAGGACGTCTGATGGGACAGGGCCCTCTGCTTCCAACCCTCCAGCCCCTTTGCTGTTCCACTCTTATAAACCCTGGTCCCTCCTCCCTGGGAGCTATTTCAGCAGCTAGTGATGCTTGGCCTCAGAATTTGATTAAGTAAATGAGGACAGGGGCCTGGAAGTTGAATGTCCCCAGACCCCAGGCCCAGCCCAGGCTGCACACCATAAGCTCTCAGCAATGTTCATTAAACGAGGAAGGGGACTTTCAGAGCTCGAGGGCTGTTGTTTATCTGATCATAGGAGGTCCACACACCCTGGAATCCAGCCCCTAGAGAGGACCACCGATAGCAGTATGGACACATCCCTGGGTCCTTTTTCATATCTCTTTGTAGATACAGATGTAATGTTTGAAACAAAAACAGAAACCTCTTCTGTGTGCTGTTCTGTAACCTGGGTTTCCCCTTTAATAACACATTGTTACTCATCAGAACATGGAGATCTTTTCAATGGCTGTAAGGTATTCAAGCATGAGTATATCATTATCCAGTCCCCTTTTGATGGCCATTGAGGTTGTTCCCAGTTGTTAAAACTTCGGATGTGTTTACTGGCATAAGCAGTACTGCATCAAACAGCATCCTCTACCCACAGCTTTCCTTGGCAGCTCACCCTGTACAGTCCATTCCTAGAAGTAGAATTGTTGGGTCAAGGCTATGCCAGGGAAGGGTATTTGCAATGGAAAGAACAGCATGGGCAAGGCCAGGGAGATGCTGAGCTCTGGTCACAAGACCAAATGAAGCCTAAGAGAGTGGCAGGACCTAGCATGCCAGGAACAGGAGGTGGGGAAGAAGCTGGGAGCTGGTAGAGGGTGGGCTAAGGTGGAATGGGTGGGGTGAGGAGGAGAGCTAAGCAGGGAGTCCTGCCTCCCTTGGTCATCAGAAACAAATAAGCCACACCTGCCAGATTGGCTCAATCATCCTGTTTCTTTCAGATGCCAAAGACTTGGATCAGCTGGGCCGGAATAAGATCACACATATCATCTCCATCCATGAGTCACCCCAGCCTCTGCTGCAGGTACTCCTTGCCCCTGTCCCGGGGCTGGGCGTAGGTGGGAAGGACTCAAACCCTCAGGACACTCATATATCAACACCTACTATGTGCTGCCTCCCTGACCCATGCTGACTCATTTAATGAAAAACTGGCCAGTTGTATGGTTGTACCCTTATTTGGCAACCGAGGCCCAGAGAGGTAAAGTAACTTGCCTAAAGTCACACAGGCTATCTAGCCTCAGAGGCCTGAACCTTAAAAAAGCCCCCATGTGGGCTTCCTATTACCCTTACAGAATAGATTATTCCAAATGGACCGTTCTGCGTCTGTGTCTGCAATGTGACCTCAGCTCTGGGGTGTAAAGGAGCTGCAGGATGGTGAAGGGGCTTTGGACACAGCTTGGCTTCCACTAGATGGGTTAGAGCTGGTTTTATTGAGACCTGGAAAAGAGAGGCTGGGGCGTTAAGACCCAGAGGAGGAAAGTGGGAAATCCAGACCACAGAGGCTGGGGTCCAGAGCCCAAATTCACACCTTCACCACTGCTCTCTCTGTAGCCAGGGGTACTGGACTTCACCTCTCTGAACATCAATCACCTGATCTGTAAAAAGGGATCTTTACAACAGTACCTACCTCCTGAGTTGTTCAGAGTCACATAATAGGTGCTCACAAATTACTAGTGATATCACAAAATTAATCATATTCTTATTCCTTAAACAGATCCTCCCCCCACCCTTTCCCTTGTGTGTGTCACCGACTAAAGGAAAAGAAATGTGGGTGAGAAAGGGCACTGGAGATCTGAGTTCCAAACCTGGTGCTGTCACAAATTTACTGTGTGACCTTTTGCAGGGTCCTTGCCCTCCCTGGGCCTTAGTTTCCCAGGTTTGCTAGTCTCTAAGAGAAACCTCCAATAATCTGTGATTCTCAGTGTCATTCCAAGAACTTTCCAGGTCAGTAGAGTCTGGTTTTGCTTTAGGGAAGGCTTGTTTTGAAGTATGCAGCCACTAGCTGCGTGAGGAAGGTTATCAAGTCCTGAATAGGTTTACTAATGAAATAACTGCTTGCAAAGTCTCTGTTCCAGCAGCCTGGCCCTCTTCTCACAAGCCTCTTTCCTTCCCCATCCATCAGTGAATGTACCAGTCAGTGTCTGATAATGCTGTGCAAACCCAAGGCCAAATGTGTTGCAAAGGGAAACTGCAAACCTTGCAAAATATGCAGGATTTTGTGACCTTGGGGAAAGTAAGTTAGCAAAGGGCTGGAATCTCAAACAAAGGCACTGATGAATGAGGACCTGGCCAGGGGTCCCTTAGCCACTGGCCAGTGGCGGGCTAACCTCCTGAAAGAACCTTGAATATCCAAGGATTAAGCGAGGTCCTTCAAGAAAAATGATGAGGTTCTTGGAACAAGGGAAAAAATAATTCTATGATCTTGAGTGAAGGTTAAGTATAAGCGAAGGATGTTGTATTAACTTTGTTGGAGAAAGTACTGATAATTGATTCATTGATTTTTTTAAATTTTATTAAATTTTAATTATTTTATTTTTTTAAGATTTATTTTTATTTATTTATGCATATAAAAGCTGGGGTGTAGGCCAGAGGTGCAGGGGGGTTAGAGGATTCACCAGAGACAGAATGGGGAGCAGAACAGGTAGATCTACTGAAATACACTGCTGAGGGGAGCAGCGGACAAGATGGGAGAGGTCTGCTGCACCATGTGGGTAGCTCCCTGGCCAGGGATTGAACTCATGCTGCAGTGGCTGGTGACAGCTTGATAGGGCTGAGACTTTAACCTGCATGACCAGGGAGGCCCTAATTCACTGATTATTTTAATAATTTTCACATAGTTTTATAACCCCAACTCACGTACTACAAGTTGTTTTCATAATCATTAGGTTTTTTTTCCCCAAGATAATAACATCTGCCTTGACCTTTTTGTTTTTTAATTATTTTTTTTACATCATTGTTTGTTTTTAAATAATATTTGCTTCCCCTCACCCCCTCAGGTGTAGTCCCCAGTGTTTCCTTTGCCAATGCACCCATACACCATCACCTCAGTCCCCTGTGCTCCTCCCTGCTTTGGCCTTTTTTTAGATGTATTTTTGTAATACTGATTTGAAGGGAAGTCACTTTAAGTGACCTATTAAGTGGCTATTTAATAGCCTTTATGGAGCTATTAAAAGAGTCCCTAGATCCTTTTTTCAAGTCCTTGTTCCCAAGGTACCCAAGCCTAACCTATGGAGTTAGGCTACCCTCTCCTCAGAAGGTTCTGGAATCAGTCAGAACTGGGAGGCACTCAGAGATGGCATCTACCTCTTTGAACAGAGAGGACAACAGTGGCCCAGAGAGGGCAAGAACCGGTCTGGGGCTTGGGTGGCCCAGCTGGGGTAAAGGGGCACAGGAGGGGCCTCCCACTGCCCACATGTGTTTTGTACTTGCAGGACATAACCTACCTTCGCATCCCAGTGGCTGACACCCCTGAAGTCCCCATGTAAGTTCCCCTGGATGAACTGACAGACAGACAGCTGCTTCCTGTAATGGTGGCAGGGAGGGTGGGAGGCGGTCTGAGGGGAGAGAGAGAGGACTCAGGCCAGAACGCTGACCTGGGGACCCCAGCACAGGTGATCACCAGGCCCAGGTGTCAGTCACACCCCTGCTCATGCCCCCTCTACCCTAGCCAAGACCCTAACCTCCCAGATCTGCCTCTCCAGTTGTGAAATGGAGAAAGTACTCTGTCTCCCGGGAACAGATGCCCCAGTGAATTTGAAAGGATCAGGTTGAGCCTGTTCAGCCTGTTCCTGAGTTGGCATCAGGGTTCCAGTCCGGCTTTGCCATTTACTTGCTGTGTGACCTTGGACAAATCACTTCCCCTCTCTGAGAGGAAAAACACTCCCTGTAATCAGGGTCAGGGAGGCTTCCAAAGACAGATGGCATGACTTAAAGATCTAGGACAGGGCCTGGAGGGTACCAGGAACTCAGTGGGATCTCTGCTCATGTTATTAGCAGCAGGGCCCTCCTACTGGGAGGGACGCCATCAGACACTCATGCCCCTTGGGAATCTTGCTTCCAACCCCATTGCTTGTCCCCAAACAGTCTGGTTACAGACTCTGGAGGAATATCTCCACCTATTTCCTTGAAAGATCATGAGAAGTCTTCCATGAAAATAAGATTGTCAAGACCCAGCAGGGAGGTGCCCTGGCCTCAGCGGTGGAATTTGCCATCATTGGCCTCTGCCATTGCTGAAATACCAGCATTATCGCATCACACACATGTTCTCTATTCACTGCATGTGCTGGCTGACCTGAGGGCCCCAGGGTTCTTTATCTCTTGCCTTCTCGTAAAGGGGAAGGATACCTTCTAAGACACCTGCCCCCTAGTGCTCCCTGCTCTATTTTTCTTCTCCAGCAAAAAGCACTTCAAAGAATGTATCAACTTCATCCACTGTTGCCGCCTCAATGGGGGGAACTGCCTTGTGCACTGGTGAGTTAAGAGGGGACTGGGGGGAGTGGAAGGAAGTGTCTGTCCTCCCTCCCCAGCACCTGCGTTTAGCAGGGGAATGAGGAGCCTGGGACAGATCTCCTCCCGCTGTCCGGATGCCATTCATAGAATAGCAGCCCATCCCAGCTGCATATCGGAGTTCTGTCCTTTATCAGCCGCGTGACCATGGCCAAATAGCTGTTTGCCCTGACACTCAATTTCCACATCTGTAAAATGGGGGAAAAGACCTGATGGACTCTGGGAGGGAAAGGTGAGGTCGTGCAGGAAGCCAGGCACCCTCCCATTGTTCTAGCTTTCTTTCCTCCCCTCCAGGCCTTTGAGTTGTTCCTGAAGAACAGGGACTGGGACTGGGATCTTCCCAGAGGCCCTTGGCTCAGTGGCTTTTTCATTCCATAACTTCTCACCCTGCCAGGCTCAGGTGGCTGTGCTGAGCGTGGGACCAGTTCTCTCCAGCCTTGACATGACCCTCTCCCTCCTTCCCCTGCAGCAGTGCACTGCCCATCTCCCCATTCTTCAGATCCACTCAGTTCCCACCTCATGGTCTTGGTACACTGCCCAGAATATTCTTGATCTTTCAAGATTCACCCTATGTCACATCCTTGGAACCCTTTTCCTAACCTTCCCCGCTCCCTTCCACTGAAATGTCCTTCCCTGTCCCCCATCCCTGGGTCCCTGACCTCTTCCAATGCAAACTCCTCTTCCCCTGCACTCACCTTCAGGGGTCACCACTAGAAATTGGTTCCCTGGTTTCTGTCTCCCCGGGTCATACTTCAAGCCCCAGATGGCAGAGCCCATCACTCTCTATCCAGTACCTGGAAAATAACAGATGATCAGGAAATGTTCACTGGGTGAATGAATGATGTTTTACTCAGACCTTTGATGTGGGAGAATGCCTGGGGGTACCATATGGGCAAGGCCTGGAGGTAGGAAAACAGGTACAGGTGCCTTGTGACTGGTACTTAGGAGAGCTGGAGTGGGGATGGGGTGCCAAGGAGTCACAGAGGAGATTGGGCCTTACCTGAAAACTTTGGGGTGTGGGGGTATCTCAGCTTTGCAGGCATCTCCCGCAGCACCACTGTCGTGACCGCATATGTGATGACTGTGACTGGGCTAGGCTGGCGGGAAGTGCTTGAAGCTATCAAGTCCTCCAGGCCCATCGCCAACCCTAACCCAGGATTTAGGCAGCAGCTTGAAGAGTTTGGGTGGGGCAATTCTCGGAAGGTAGGGGCAAAGCCTGGGGCAGGGGTGGGAGACTACACTTCCCTCGGGGCTCTGATCAGAAGGAAAAAGAGCCTGTGTGCTTCAGACCCTGCAGAAGGTTTTTCTGGGGTTTTGATCCGTGGTCTTGAGCCAATCTAGCCCCTACTTGTACTTATGTTTGGCCAGTGGGAGGTTTTCTTTTCCTTTTTAATTTAGAATTTGAACGCCTTTGGGCCACACCTTCCATTTGATCAGGTCCCAGCCTTACCTGCCCCACCTGCCTGAAACCTGAAGGCATTTAAGTGTTTGGCCCTTTTGGAGAGAAATGTCCTTCCCTGTCCCCCATCCCTGGGTCCCTGATGAGGGCCTAGGGATTCCTTCTCCTGCTCCTGCTGGGCAGATGGTACAGGGGCTGGCAAGAACTGAGGCCTCCCTGGGAACAAGGGATGAGACAGAGAAAGAGAAGGGGGGCTGCCCTCCTCAGGGGGCAGGCTGGTACCCAGAGGCTTGACTTCGGGGCTGCATCAAGAAGATGCAGGCAAGCAAGCTGCCCTGTGTGAGGGGGCTGTGGCGCGGCTGGGAGGGGTTAAGGCGGTCCCCACTGTGCAGTAGGGTATGAATTCAGCAGGTCTGGAAGATTTGGAGTGTCAAAGGCCCAGAGGGGTTCAGGGAGAGGAAACCACTCAGTGAGGGGTACAGAGACTCACAAGGAGGCTCCTACGATGCTCAGGAAGGGGAGGGGCCTGGCGAGGTGGGACGCTCGGGGAAGGGCGGGGCCGTGGGGACTGCGGCCGGGCGCCCGCCCATTCCCACCCCACACCCCTACCCCAGCTCCGCCGGCTGCTGGAGGAGCGCTTCGGAGAGAGCCCTTTCCACGACGAGGAGGAGGTGCGCGCGCTCCTGCCGCTGTGCAAGCGCTGCCGGCAAGGCCCGGCGACCTCGGCCTCCACCACGTCGCACTCCACTGCCTCCGAGGGAACCCTGCAGCGCCTGGTGCAGCGCGCGCCCCGGGAAACCCACCGGCCGCTGCCGCTGCTGGCGCGCGTCAAGCAGACTTTCTCTTGCCTCCCGCGGTGCCTGGCCCGCAAAGGCGGCAAGTGAGGATCCCGCCCTAGTGCGGATCCCACCCCGCTGTGGCTCCCCTCTCCCTCCCCACTGATCCCCTTGGGGGTGGTCTGGGCCTCCCACGGCCTCCAGGACGGGCCCAGGGCCTGTGGGAGTCCTGCAGCGGCCCTGCCCCCCTGCCTGCCTTGCTTGTCTGCATCTGCAGTCAGTGTGTCCTCCACGTTTGTGTCTCTGTTTTTGAGCTGGCCTGCTGCAGCCACCTGGTGCCTTAGTCCTCGGGCTGGGTGAGGGGGCACCCGGGTCTCTGCCCCTTAAAGGCAGCGGGAGTGGGAGTGGGTGGGTGGGGGTTGGGTGGGCCTGGAAGATATTAAAGAGACACAGAAGTTACCTGTCTGAGCTGCTCCAAGTCATTTAGCAAAGTCAAGGCAGCAGGACCCTGCCAAGGGCCAGGAGCCAGAAGGAAACTGGGATGGGAGGGGGTCTGCATCCCCTAGAGCCCCCGCAGCCTGCCACTCTCCCTGACTTCATTCTGCAGTGCTGACCTCTGAGACTATACCCACTTACTCCCCTGAGACCCCCTCCCATCTCCCTCCTGAGCCCTGATCTCCAGACTGGGGCCCTGAGTCTCTCCTGTCTAAACCAACCCTCTTCTCTCTGAGCCCCTCTCCATCCTCTTCCTCAGTCCCTTCCCCCTCCCCATAAATAAATACCAGCAGTAGTAGTGCCTCCCTCACACCTGACCTTTTACATGTAAGAGTTCACCTAATCCTTAAGGAAGAAACTGAAGCTCAGAGAAGTCAGACAACTTGCCCATGGCACACAGCTTAAGTAGGAGAGGCTGGATTTGAAGCTAGGTGATCTGAGTCCCTCAGGGCAACCATAAAGCAACAGACTATTCCGAGGATGGGCAGAGGTCACAAGAGCTGATTTTTTTCCTAAACTGAAATTAACCTGGGGCTGAGAAATAAGTACAAACTAGACTCACCTGTATGGAGTTCTCATTATGCACCAAGCACTGTGGTTAGGGCTGTTGGGGAGGCCCAGATTTCAGCTTTGGGGGGTTGGGATTAGGCAAAGTAACCTTCGCCTGCAACATTCATTCACCAGTGTGCCAGGGCAGGCATTGTGCTGGGCATTGGGGATACATCAGTGAGCGAAACCGCTGCCCTCTTGGTGCTGACATTCTGGTGTGAAAGACATCAGAGAAGCAGAGAAACAAAGAAATCGTGTTAGGCAGAGGGAACAGTAAGTGAAAAGGTCCTGGGGTAGGACTGTATGGCAGAGCAAGGTGGTAGGGCAGGGCAGCCAGATTCACCAGCATGTAGGGAGCCTGTGGTCCTCCTGACTGGCTAGTGGTGCCACGATCCACCTGGTTTAAAATACCTTTCTATTTCAAGGTGCCTCCCCACCTTGAAAACCTCACTGCCCCATCATCTGGAGAACAAAACAAGCCACCTTGATCTGATGTTCCAGATCCTTGATCATGCTCCCCCTTCTCTTGTTACACTTACCCACTCTGACTCAACAATAAAAATTGATTTGTACATTTATTGAACACTTGCAATGGGCCAGGCAGCACGCTCAATGCTTTACCCACGTCTCATTTAATCCCCAAGCAACCCTATGAAGTAGGCGTTGCTATTTAACACGAAGAAAGCGAGGTTGGTGCCCAGGTCACCAGCTGGCTAGTGGTGGGTCTGGGACTGAAGTCAGGCAGTCTGGCTATGGACTCTGGCTTCCCTTCTAGTACCTTGCTCTGCCGTCTAGGAAATGAAGAGGCTGTTGGACATAAGCAAGTCCTCCACTGCAATGTGATTATTACTTTGGTACATAGTTGCATGAAATGCTTCCTGCCCCACTGGAGTCCTCCAGGCTTGAGTTTGAATCTTGACTGTGGCTCTGTAAGTAACAGAGCTAGTGACTCAAATATGGGGACAAAGGTCAACACACTTAGGTAAAATTAGAGTCTTAGCAATTGTCACTTGGAGACACCCAGTTAGTAAAAAGCAGAACTACGCTCCCCCAAATGGTGCTGGGAGCTCACGGTATTTAGACTTAATAGGCAGTCTTACAACTGTTTTAAGCAAGTAGGATGGATGGTGACTTAGGAAGTCACTGTGTCTGCATGATTGGTCCATTGTTTAGTCTCCACCTATCAGCCAATCCCACCGTGGTCTTCCAGGCTTCCAAATTATTTATTTGCAGTTACAGTTTCTATGAGATCAAAACCAGACAGAGACAAGTTACTCTTCCCCATTTGTCTCCTTATTCCACAGGAACATGAAGAAGCCCCCCTGAAGGGCACACATGAAGGACAGCACTACCAGCTTCTGGTCAACACTGGCTGAGCATCCAGCTCTGTCCACTACAGACTAGAGTGGATTCCTCCCTTTTAATCTTAGTTCTCTCATGTACACAGCAAGGGGTGAAGCATTCTGAGCTAGTTGACCTCTTTCCTAACAGAAACCAATTTGACAATTTAATGAAAGATACAAACCATAGGAAAAACTCTCAGGCATGAAAAAAATTGCATAGACTTTCAAGGGGGACCACAGCCCCCACCAGGAATCTAGAAACTTCAAGTGTAGCTGTGGGGAGAGAGTGTGGACCACTGTTTAGCCGTTTGGGTTTGGGGGCAGAAAGACACAGGCTCAGATCCTGACTCCCCACCCCACTAGCTCTGTGACCTTATTATAGGGCTATAACATCTTGAGTCTCAGTCTTTTTAACAAATAAGTGAGTAGCCTCATCTCATACTGCAGCAACACTACAGCAGAGACTTTAGCCAGGCCCAGCATTGTGGTGAGGGCAGTAAATGGGGACTTCCAAGATGTATGGAAATGTTCTCCAGGTGTGGCCCATGCTCCACCAAGATCAGAATCCCATAGAGGAAACCCTTAAAATGGGCTCCCGCGCTTCCTGCCCAGAAAATTCGATTCTTCAGGCCTGGGGTGGAGACTAAGAGTGCATTTTTAACCAACCTCTGCCTCCCAATTCTGGTGGGAGTTAGACGTTAGAAACACTAAACCATTCTAAGAGACCGACTTTTCCGGCAGGCTGGAAGATCAGAGAACAGGTGCAGAGGTGTTCAGAGCAGCGCCTCTGGGTCGGTGCTCATCAGGGGGCCCCTTCCAGGGACAAACAGAGCTTGGGCTAACAGCCCCACCCAGTGGGACTCTAGGGCCCCACTATACTAGATCCGGTGCACACCCCCGCAAGCCCCCCCCCCCACCAGCGACCACGGGGAGGGGCGAAAGAAACGGCCTTCTGGCCTTCGGGGATCCGGAGAACCCACAAAACTGAAAGCGAAACCCGCCCTCCCGGACTTTCGCTTTCGCTGCCTCCCGCCACCCAGGTGGCCCCGCGGCCCGGGGAGAGCTGGAGTCCAGCCACCCTCGCCCCGACCTAGCCCCCGCGCGCTGCGTCCTCGATGGTCGGCGAGCCCTGGCGGCGGGAGGAAGGGAAGGTCCTCGACGGCAGGCGACCCATGGCGGGGGCCGGGGGTCCCCTGCGCCTCCGCGACTGGCTGGTGGCGCAGATCGAGAGCGGGCGCTACGCCGGCTTGCGCTGGGAGGACGCGGGCAAGACCCTCTTCCGCATCCCCTGGAAGCACGCGGCCAAGCAGGGCTACCAGGCGCGGCAGGACGCGGCGCTCTTCAGGGTAAGGGGCGGCGCGGAGGACCCAGCCGCGCTGCAGGACCTGGGGCCACGCGCTCCCTCGGTCCGCAGACTTCACTGGTCTCTAGGTTGAGGGTGGCGTTCTCCGTAAGCGGGAGACCTCAGGCTCCGAAAACAGAACGAGCCGCGGGCGGTGCGGCCTGCTTAGACGCCCCCGGGGGAGGTCCCGCCGCTTCCTGCGCCCAAAGCCCAACCCAAGTCTCCGGGAACCTTGTCCGCGCTTCCAGCACCGGCGCTTCTGGGCACCTCCCCCGGAGCCGTCCTGCCTTTCCCCAGCCAGCCACAGCTCCCTCCAGACTGGCTCCTTCCCAGCATTTAACTCCGGCTTGTCTCCAGGGGGCAGTGAGCAAACAGCTGCACGTAGGGTCACTGCACCACCCACCCACGCCCCCCTGCTCCGCCTCCCTGCCTCCCCTCCGCTTGGACAGGTGAAGCGCCGAAAATAGCCCAGCCCCTCACTCCCACAGGCCCCCAGTCCCTCCTCTCTGCCCTCTCCCTCGCAGTCTGGCTTCTGGCCTCTGCCCTTGCTAATGTCTCTCGTTCCCAAACAAACGTAAGGAAGGATGTCATCACTGTCTGCATCACTGTGACCCCCAGTGAGTCTGGGCTGGAGGAGCCTCCCTCTTCATTCTCAGGCCTGCCACCTGCCACCCCCCCCCTGTCCCCCTGCCCCCCTGCTTGACCCCTGCTTCTCAACCCCCACCTCCTCTCTTCCAGCGCCTGGGCCCTCACTCACGCCTACAGCCCCCTATCTCCCACCCGCCCCGCCCACAGCCCCAGCATGAAACCCCAGGCTGCTGCTTGTGGCTTCCGGGACCCTTCCTGGATGGTCCCTCTAATGAGCACTTCCGCAGTCCTGTGCCTGTTGTCACTTGCCCCTACCAATTTCCGTGTCCCCAAAATAGAACATGGCAGCGACTGCCCCCACACCTCAGAGCCAGGCATCTGAGTCCTGGCCGCTCCCTCCTCTTCCAGTCTCATTCTACTCTGGCCCCAAGGCCCGCCGACTCGTCCTGGGCACTTCTCTTCATTCCATCCACTTGGCCCATTTCCATCTTTCACCAAGACAACTGCAGGGACCCCACCAAACTCCCTGCTTCTCCCTTTCCCTCAGCTCTTCCCAAGGATAAATCTCACTTTGGCACTCCCCTACTCAGAATCCTTCCATAGCTCCCTACTGCCCTTGGGATAAAGTTCCCGACTCCTTACCATGACCTCAAAGCTCTGCACTAACTACCCTTGCCTGGCCTCATTTCCTCCACTCCCGCCCTCCCCAACTTTAGACCTGACCTGAGAGTTCTTTCAGTTTCTAAATGCTTCCGTCTCTCTCACCAGTAGATCTTTGCTCACGCTCTTCCCTCTGCCCGGAAAACCCCTTCTCTTCATCTTCACATGTCCGAACCCTATGGGGCTCAGCTTAAACAGCCCCTCCTCAAGAGAGACTTCCCTGTCAAGTTCACTTGTTTAATGTATTAAGCTCCAGCTTGGTGCTTTTCCCAAGTCATCCCTGATGCCTCCTGCTTTCTCCACTGAACGACCTTTCGCTGTGAAGTATAAGTGCCTTGTAGGAGTCTGTCTCATCTACTACACCCCCTCCAGCTCCCTGAGGGTGGTGACACCAGGCATAGGGCCTGGCACATAGTGGGTGCTCAGTAAGTGTTGAGCAGGTGGTTGTGTGGTCTGTCCGTGTTCCCGCGGAGGTGGCAAAGGGGCCTTCTGGGGCCAGCTCTTCTACTGTGAACAGCTGTCCTTTCAGTCAGTCAATTTAGTCTCATGCTTTTAACATTTTTATACTTTTTGTTGGTGATTTCACTGCTTAAAATGGCACCAACACGCACAGTGCTGAGTTAAAGCGCTACCTAGTGACCCCAAGCCAAGAACGCTGCAATCTGCCTGATGGAAAAAATATGTGTGCGCAGTAAGCTTTGTTCAGGTGTGAGTTACAGCTCTGTGGACCTCAAGCCCACTGAATGAACTGACAGTACATATTAAATAAGAGACAGAACACACATAAAACTAGGCTACATGTTGATGAAAATAGTGTAGGTTGGGGCTCACAGGAACCTAGCCCAGTATTTTCCCCTAGCAACAGTTCCTTGTTCATGAGATTTGATAGAACAGAGCTACCAGGAATAATGAGAACTATAGTACCCCACCCTCACACCCCCACCCCAGCTCCAATGACACCAGGCTGCTCACTGTCCCCCAAATGCACCATGCCCTGACCCAAGCTGTTCCCCCTGCCAGGAGCATCACTCTGCCAGCGGCCGCATACTCACCTGCACAGCTCAGCCCAGCTCCTACCACAGATATTTATTGGGCCTCTTCTGTGTGCCAGGAGTCATCCAGGTGCTTGGGAACGCAGCAGCGAGCAAAACCAAGTTCCTCTGTCATCACAGTGATAATACCTGGGCCCTCCGCCTGGGTTACCTTCGAGTTAGAGTATCTTGAACGTAGCGAATAAGCACTATCACAAACTAGCTCTGGCCATGTGCCAGGCGCGGTGCTAAGTACCTTACTGACACCCACCACAATGACATGAGGTTCAATACAGTTTACGGACAACAAAATCAAGCCTTAAAGGTCCCAGCACTGACAAGTGGTGCTGTGAATGCTTCCTTGGACTTCCACTTAGGAACGGTGGCTTTTCTGTCCTGATGCCCACTTAGTGTCCCACTAAGCCTGGAATCTCTGAGGGCAGGAATTAAATGTGATTCATCAGTTAAGTTCTGACCACCAGCACCCCCGCCCTGAACATGAGAAAATGCAAGCAATACATCTGCTGCCCCCCCCCTTGGTCCACTCTGCTGCAGCCACACTGACCCTCCTTGAATCTATCATTCTCTTCCTACCACAGGACCTTTGCACTGACTGTTCCTTCTACTAGAACAGCCTTCCCCAACCCTTTGTCAGACCCCATATTTCTTTTCATTCAGACTTCAGCTCAAAGGCCACCTCCTCCGGGAGACATCTTCTGACCACCCTCTCTAATCAGTCCCTCACTTCTCTGAATTATTTAGTGCCTCTACCACAGCAGTCACTCTGATTATTTCATGAATATCTTTGAATTAATCTTTTACACCAGGCAACTCTGTTTTGTGTCTTCTTACCTTATCCACATCATCTCAGTCTCCTTCTCAGTCTTTCTTAGTCTCACTCAGGATCATGCTCTGAAGATCTGTTCTTGTACATTCGTCCATCTACTGAGCTGCTCCTAGATGCTTCTAGATGCTGCATGATGAGCATCCATCGCACCCACACCACATGCACCTCTCCAGGATGAACACCTCTCCCAGGTGCTTTCCAGCACCACCAGTCGAGCCACAGTGGCTGTCCTTGCCCAGGTCCCCTGGTGAACCCCTGTGAGAATTCCTTTCGTTAGAATGTCTGCTCATAGGGTACATTTATACTCAATTTGACTAGGTGTGCCAGATTGCTACCTGAAGCTCCGTGTCCCTTCCACGCCCACCAACAATGCCCCCATCAGCTCCCGGCATCATCCAACTCACAAAATTTTGTCAATTCATATTTTTATGTGCATTTCTCTGACGTTAATGAGTTTAAATATTTCCTCATATGATCACAGGCTTTTGGTTTCCCCTTCTGTAAACCACCAATTCTTGTCCTTTGATGAGATTTATATTTTTTTGCAGGGTGTGCTCTCTGCCTTTTGTTGATTTGCAGAAGTTCTCTGTATGTCCTAGTTCTGACTTAGGCCCCTGCTGATTGCAGACATTGTCAGGTTTTTTTGCCTTAGGGTTCATGCCTTCAAAGTTTTGTTTTTGTTTTTTTTTAAGATTTATTTATTTATGCATACAAGAACTGGGGTACAGGCCAGAGATGTGGGGGTTGAGAGGATTCACCAGAGACAGAGCAGGGAACAGAACAGGCAGACTGACTGAAACACACTGCTGAGGGGAGCAGCCGGCAAGACAGGAGAGGTCTGCTTCGCCATGTGGGTAGCTCCCTGGCCAGGGGATCAAACTCATACTGCAATGGCTGGAGACAGCTTGATAGCGCTGTCTTTAACCACTGCACCATCAGGGAGGCCCTTTCAAAGTTTTGTTTAAGAAGCAGTCTGTGCCCCTAGATTTTTTTTCTCTCTCTCTATATGTGTGTGTGTGTGTGATTAATTTTACAGGTTTACCTCTTACCTTTGGTTATTTTAGTCACCTAGAGTCAACTTTATATGGGGCAATAGGTAGGGACTTATATGGTAGTCTAGATAGCAAATCACTGCCACTGTTTATATCTTTTCTTCCGATTTATTTTTTTTTTTATTTATCACAATCCATAATTTGGATTATAGCTGTTTCCCTTTAGCTGTTTGCAGTTGTTTTCTCCAATTATAATTGACTTCCTTGAGAGTGGGGACTGTGTTGTCTCCCTCTCCTAGCTCTGACTCATAGTAGAAGCTCTAGAATATGGAGGAAGAAAGAGAGGAAATAATGGATGGGCAGAGGGAGAGAGAGAGAAGGGTGGGGCACAGAGCAGTCCCTTACCCATTAGCATGGCACCCTCTCCTATACTCTCCCTGCCCACTTATCCCTGCTTACTCCCAGGCCTGGGCCATATACAAGGGCAAGCACCTAGAGGGCGTTGACAAGGAAGACCCCCCCATGTGGAAGACACGGCTCCGCTGTGCCCTCAACAAGAGTGCAGACTTCTGTGAGGTGCGCGAGTGCAGCCAGCTGGACATCTCCAACCCCTACAAGGTCTACCGGATTGTGTCTGACGGTGCCCATGGCCCAGGTATCATCCTGCCCCCGGAGGGAGTGGCGAGGATGGCTGTCTAGGCAAAAGGGCTTATGTGAAATGTTGGGTTTGCTGAGCTTAAACTCATGGGCTGGTAAACATGAGGACCCTTAGATCATCCAGTTTATCACCCGATTTGAAAAGGAGAAAACTGAGGCCCTGGGAGGCGTGGACGTTACCAAGCTCATGAGTGAGCTGCGGTACTCTTGTCTGAGATCATTTCGGTTAAGGGGGTTCCCCTTAAGGCCCAGGAAACAACAGGCTGTCTGCTGCTCCATCCAGTTACCAGGGCATGTGCTCCTAAAGAGGACCGCGTTCCCCAGAGCTGGCAGGAGTCCCCTGCAGAAGTGGCTGAGCCCGCCTGCGGGACAGACAAGGTCAGTGTATCCTTCCAGGACCTGCAGCCCTTCCAACTCAGTCACCGCTCACCCAAACCACCCTCCCTCTGACCTCAGCACATTTATCTCTTCCTCTCCGTCAGCTCCTGCTCCATCACTGTCCACGACCCTCCTATCAGCTTTACCTCTTCTTACCTCTGCCCCGTGTCTGCATTATCATCAGCCCCATTCTGCCCTCATCGCCATCATCTCTGACTCTCTCCCTGTTCCCATCACCTCTGCTGTCTTCAGCTCCACCACTCTGTCTGCATCAGCCCTAGTTTCCAAATTCACCCTCATCCCTATCATCATTGGGGCCATAGTTCCATCCCCGCTGACCCCATCAGGTTCAGTTCCATTGCTCTGTTCCCTTCCCTGTCATCTCTTCCAGCTCTCTTGCTGTTACCATCATCCCAGCAACTCCATCACTCCCTGCATTGCCTCTGTTCTTTCCACCCCATCACCTGCCCCCCATCTATGCTTCATCACTCCATTCCATTGTTTCTAGCCCCCATCAACATTCACTCCATTGCTCGATGCCCTTCCCCCACCTGTTATCTCCAGCTCCTTCATCTCTCATTGTCCTCATTCTCTCCCAGCACTTCCTCTCCCGGTCACGATTAGCTTGATCTCTGACCTGGTCACCTCCAACAACTCATCAACTCTCTCTCTACCCCAAGGGAGGGCTGGATCTTGAGCTCTGAAACTCCAAAGTTCCTATCAACCCCAGCTGGCCTTCAGTTTACGCAGACCTCCCTCTGCCCTAGTGGAGTCTGGGGACTCCTGTGGCCCACAGATCTCCTTCCCGTCTCACGCCCCTCTCTCCCAATGCTCAGGACGATTCCAGATTAGCCACAGAGGCTAAGGACAAGGAGCAGCCTCCCAGGCTGGCCCAGCGGGGCTCCCTACCGTCAGCTGCCCTGCTCCCAGGCCCTTTGGCTGACCACAGTAAGGACTGGGTCTCCTCACCCACCCCTGCCTCCTCCCAGACCTCTTCCAGGACCTTGATCTAAGGGCAGAGGGAAGAGGCACCTGACTCTTCCCCTCCCCCCAGGGTACCAGGCACAAGACCCCACACACCACTGGAGCCCTTCACCTTCTGAGGATTTCAGCAACCCTGGTAAAGAATCTAAAGACCCTCCTCTTTGACTAGTGTGCAGAACTGGAAAGGGCCCTGGGTTGGAGCAACTAACTTCTATGCCCCACCTAAAGCTCCCAGTCAAGACTCCCAATAACAACCACTAATATTTGTCAAGGGTTTAGCTGATGCCAGGCAACCTTCTAATTTCTTGCACAGCTTTTGAGATAGATACTGCCATCACCCCCATTTGATAGAACTTTGCCCAAGATCCCACAGCTAGTAATTCTGGGAAAGATGCTAATAGGTACAGCTTCCAAGTGGCTTGAGAGATTGGAATCCAGAGGCCTGGCTGCTGAGCCCACAGTCCTGACCATTGAGAGCACTGCTGGCTCCTCCAGTGGAAAGCTGTTTTGCTGTTGTTACTGTTATGTCCAACAGGATTAAGATCTATTTGCTGGGAAGAAGCCCAGATTCCCAGAGGCTGGGGCTCAGAGTGTGACAGTGGCATTCCCCACCCCCATGGCAGAGGTAGTCCAGGTCTCCCTATTCTTGAAGCTCACTACCAATTCTTTCCTGCTGGAAGCCATTATATACTAGCAAGCATCACTGCGGCCACTGCCACCACTAGAATTATCACATATAAAAAGGGCGGCCCCAAATCCCTTGGTGAGGGCCAGGAGGACCTCCTGGCTCCTTGTCCTCTTGCAGGAGTAGAGGGGGTGCTGGAGCCACCGCCCTGGCGCATGCCCCCCCCCCTCCCCTTTCCGCAGATTGCTGGCTGCACGTGCGGCTCTTCTATGGCGCGGAGCTGGTGCGCGAAGCCACGGCGCGCACGGCGGAGGGCTGCTGCCTGAGCCCGCGGGCCGCCGCCGAGCGCCTTCTGGGGTGGCCAGCTCGCATCGCGCAAATTCGCTTCCCGGAGCCTCCGCCCGGCGCCCGCGTGCTGCAGCGCCTGCTGCCCCATCTGGAGCGCGGCGTGCTGCTGTGGGTGGCGCCCGAGGGCGTCTTCGCCAAGCGCCTGTGCCAGGGCCGCGTGTACTGGCGTGGTCCGCTCGCCCCCCACCGCGCGCAGCCCAACAAACTGGAGCGAGAGCGCACCTGTCAGCTGCTGGACACCAGCCGCTTCCTCACAGGTAGGCCCGCAGGCAGGGCTGGTGAGGCTTCCGGCAGAGTGGAAGAGCACAGAGGGCATGGGCACAGGGGGTACAACCAGACGTAGACAGAGGATAGTGGGCACACAAGATATGGGTGCAGAGGAATGGGTTTATGGATGCTGGGCATGCTGTGGACATTGAAACAAAGAACAGGATACAGAAGCATCAGGATAGGAGGAATCTGGGCATCAGGAAAGCTGGGCATAGATGCAGACATAGGTGTATGGGAGGTGACAGTGCGGGCAGGCTTGGGGCACTGGGTGGGGCATAAGCATAGCACTCAGGCACAGGAGACCATGGGGCTTAGGGATGTAAGCATAGGGTGGGTGCAGGACAGGCACAGGTAAGCTGTCATGGCTGTGGGGTGGGCATGAAGTGATGGGGGCACAAGGCATGATGAGTGAGGTGGGCACAGATGTGGGGCGTGAGACAGGCATAGGGACATGGAAATGGGAGTAGGCACACGTGGGGACATGAGCTTATAGGACTGGACATGGAACATGGGTGTCAGGTGGGCACCAGATGGGATGCCTGCCTTGGCCCAGCCCCCACAGTCTGGGTGCCCGTAGACCTGCGCGCCCACCTACATGATGGCTGCCCAGAGCCTGAGTACCAGATCCAGCTGTGCTTCGGTGAGGAGTACCCGGGCCCGGAGGATCGGCCTACGGAGCGGCTCATCATGGCCCATGTGAGTCCCCCTCCCCACTCCAGGGAGCATCACCCCCTCTGTGCCCCCCATACAACCTTCACTGATTCCCCCCAGGCCCCCAGGACCTACTGTGAGACCCTCTGGTCTGCATGACCCTACTTGTGTGTGGGGAGGTAGCTGTCACTCGGGCATCCACTTCCTACAGGGAAGGTAGGGGGTGGGCAAGGAGAGGGCTGACTCGCTGCCCCACCCCACAGGTGGAGCCAGTCTTTGCCCGGGAGCTCCTCCTGCACTTTAAGAGCCACAGCCAAGATGCCTCCTTGGGCCCAGTTCCCAACCCAGCACCCCCCAAGGCTTCGCTCATCTAACAGCGCAGCAGAGTCAGCCATAAGCATCTGTTTCCTCCTCTCTTACCCTCCATAAAGTCAGCTCACCACAAAGTCTGACCTCTACCCCTGCCTGGCCTGGCCTTAAACTGAGGCAGTGGACTTGGGGATTTCCCCGCCCATCACCCAGGTGGGTTGGAACAGCTGAAGTTGATCTCAAAGCTGATCTCATCTGCAACCTCTCAGCCACAGGGATGGCTGGCATCCACAGCAGGTGGGGAAATCAGACTTGACCTGGAGGTTCCTGAAACAGCAGTCAGTGCAGAAACAAGACCTCATCTCTTGTTGAGAGCCCAAGCTGGCTATAGCAATTTACTTAAAGCCTGCCCTACCTGCAGTTGAGCCCATTGTCAGTGTTGCTTAAAGCAATTAGATCTGTTGCAATTAGATCTGCAGGGTTGTTTAGAGAGAGGCCAACTAGTAATGATTGCCTGGCCTCTGAGGGCTCTGAGTTTCTAGACCCTTCCTCCCACTCTACCACAAGTCTCTCTTTTGGGGGACAGCAGGGGGTTGGTAGAGCAAGGAGTTCCAAAACAGAGGCCTTGTCCTGAACCCAACGATTTGGTTGCTAACCACTGAACCAGCAGTGCAGTGGATACTGCGGGTCCCCCAAACACAACCCAGAGACAGAAGCCAGCATGAGCACCAGGAGCCTAGCCCCTCCACAAAGCCCCTAAACTTCAAGCTGGGAGTCCTTGGGAACTGGGAGGGAGAACCCCCACTTCAAAAGCAGTCAGCTCTGCCATGTCAGTGAAGTCACTGTTTTCTGTCCCAGAAATCAGATGTTTTTTCTTTTTCTGATTTCTAACTTTATTTATAGGAATCCTCTTACAGATGGCAACCTAATAAATCTCTTTGACGATACACTAATAAGCCTTTTTTATGGGGGTAGGATGCTGGTACTGTATGATTCAACAAAGGACAGAAGTCAATTGGATCTCTACTTTTTAATTCATTCAACAAACGTTTACTGAGCACTTGTTCTGTTCCAGGCCAATGCTGGACACTGGGGATGCATGTTCCCTACTCTCTTGGGGATCACAACCTGTTTACCAGTGGGGGCCTAATGACTGTCCTCTACCCCTGCCCCTCACAGAGGAGGTAGGGTTTAGGAGGCAGAGACACAATCCTGAGTTCAAATCCCAGCTTTGTCACTTACTAGCTGTGTGACCTCAAGCAAGTCACTTAACTTTGCTGAGCCCCAGAGTCCTCATCTATTCAAAAGAAGCAATGAGGACCTCTGGAGCAGGGCTGGCAGAGGGGTAAATGTAGAAGGGAGAGGTAAGCAGGTTTGGCATGGAGGGTGGCACACAGTAGGGGCCCACTGACTTGGTTAGTTACTTGTGGGTGGGAGAGCATGGAGGAAGCTGCCTCATCCTCCAGATGACCTGACTGTCCAGGGCTTTGCTGCACCCCAGTTCAAGGCTGCGGCTGGGTAGGAGCCTCAGTCCAAAGTGACAGTCCTCAGTCATATCCAAATCCCTACTCTATGCTACACTCTCCGAGGACACTGGATTTCGTGCAAGGGGATTTGCATGCCTCTTTACCACAAATCTTACAGCTGAAGAGTTGCTAACTCCATTTTAGAGAAGGAAACACATGCTCAGTCAGGGACCAGGGCTTAATGGAGATGCTTCTTGGGAAGGGAGAGGTCTCCGTCCTGACGACTGTCCTCCCCAAAGCCATCAGTAGAGGGCGCCAGGTCTCAGCAGAACAGGTTTGGCTGTTCTGGCCCTCCTGGGAGGTCCTGATCACCATCCCAGATACCCTGCCCCACATACATGCCCCAGTGCTCACTGGGAACAGTGTGACCTTAAGGGCTTTGCACTGCGGGGAGGAAAAAGTAGGCAACAAGCCTGGAAGAAGGAGAGCAGAAGGAGGAACTAGGGGTGGGGCATTTGAGAGACCCCTGGGGCTTTTCTTGTGGGGATTCCCGGTTGTCCAGGTCAGCGTTTAGACTCTACCTGTCTTTTTTCTCCTCTCTCTCTCTCTTTTTCTGCCCCTCCCTCTCTTGTAGCTGTATCTGTGTTTCTTTCAGAGATTCTGACTTTCCCTGTGTGTGTGTGTGTGTGTGTGTGTGTGTGCCCCTCCGGGTGTCTTCATTTTTTCTGTCTGTCTTGCCTTTGTCTTTGTCTCTGTCTCTACCTCTATTTCTGTGTTCCTGTCCCTCTCTTATTCTGTCTCTCCCTCTCTGTCTCTCTTTTTGCTCTTTCCCTCTCTGTGTCTCTGCCAATGTCCCTTTTTGTTTGTCTCTGTCTCACTCAGTTTCACATCCTGCCCCTCCCCAGCCACCACCATATAGCCCATGTGGCCCGAGGGTCTCAGTCCCTTCCCTCCCATCTCCTCATCCCTGGCAGAGAGCTGCTCACAGCTTCCCAATCCTGGCCTCTCCTGCCCGCCCCTCTTGGGCCTTGGGGGAGGGGGCGAGGGAGGAAGGGAGGGCAGCCTGGCGGGCCCACCCCTTTTTGCCTTTCCAGGCTGGGAGGCTGGGCCAGTGGGCCTTTTAACCAGCCCGGGGCAGGCTGTGCCGGACGCCAGCCCTGGACGCAGTGCCTGGCCCCCGAGGTCCCGGCACCCTAGCCAGCCCGGCCAGCATGCAGCAGCAGCCTCCACCTGGGCCCCCGGGCCCTGCAGCTGAGCCCACCAAGCCTCCCTACAGCTACATAGCTCTGATTGCCATGGCCATCCAGAGCTCCCCGGGGCAGCGGGCCACGCTCAGCGGCATCTACCGCTACATCATGGGCCGCTTCGCCTTCTACCGCCACAACCGGCCTGGCTGGCAGAACAGCATCCGCCACAACCTGTCACTCAACGAGTGCTTTGTCAAGGTGCCTCGAGATGACCGCAAGCCAGGCAAGGGCAGCTACTGGACGCTGGACCCAGACTGTCACGACATGTTTGAGCACGGCAGCTTCCTGCGCCGGCGCCGACGCTTCACCCGGCGGGCAGGGGGCGAGGGTGCCAAGGGCCCAGCCAAGGCACGCCGTGGACCCCTCAGAGCCACCAGCCAGGACCCAGGAGTCCCCAGCGCCACAACTAGCAGGCAGTGCCCCTTCCCTCCGGAGCTGCCAGAGACCAAAGGTCTAAGCTTTGGGGGTCTGGTGGGGACCTTGCCAGTCACCATGTGCTCGGCAACCATTGATGCTAGACCTCGACCGTCTGCAGAGGCCAAAGAGATGCCCACGCCCAAGCCCGCAGGCCCAGGGGAGCTCCCTGTGGCCGCCACGTCTCCCCCATGCCCAGCATTTGGCTTTTCTGCGGGTTTCTCTGAGGCCGAGGGGTTTAGCAAGGCCCCTACGCCCATCTTGACCCCCGAGACGGGCATTGGGAGTGGCTACCAGTGCCGGCTGCAGGCTCTGAATTTCTGCATGGGAACTGACGCAGGCCTGGAGCACCTCTTAGCCTCAGCAACCCCCTCCCCTGCACCACCCACTCCTCCAACCTCACTCAGGGCCCCGCTGCCCCTGCCTGCGGACCCCAAGGAACCCTGGGTGGCTGGAGGCTTCCCTGTCCAGGGAGGCTCTGGCTATCCACTGGGACTGACCCCCTGCCTATACCGGACACCAGGAATGTTCTTCTTTGAGTGAAGCCAGCCTGGCCTCGGGCAGGCCCTGCAGGACCCTTGCCAGCTACACCCTCCGGGCTGAGTCTGACTAGGATCTGGGGAGCTTTCAAAGGACCCCACCCTGGAAAGCCAAAGACAACAGGACAGGAAACCAACACTGGAGGGGTGACCGCTCACCCAGGCCCCTGGGGCCTCTGGACAGACTTGGGGGTGAGGGGAGTGGGGCCCATGGGATTGCCTCTGTGGCTCTGAGGGCCAATAAAGCCAGTGTGACGATGAGGGTCAGCTTGCTGGATGGTTGGGAACTGAGGACCAGGAGGCCTGGTTCCATGTGGGGTGGCTGTGGTGGTGGAGTATGTGGCAGGGGCTGGGGACCCCAGGTGGAAGGGTCCCACATAAGTGTTTCTCCTGCTGGGGACTTTCTCAGGGAGTTTCCCAGCAAGGAGAAGAAGGGGGAGCAGGGAATGGGGGGTGGTGATAGAGGAGGAACACAGCCCAGTGGGTGAGGCTGGGCTGGCTGGAGGGGCAGATGCCCTAGCCCCAAACTGTAACTCAGCACCCCCATATGAGCAGTTATAAAAACCGTGACCACTGGTAGCAGGGCTTCTCTCACCTGATTCCTGTGAGGTATGTTTTGCCGTGGTGGGGCTGAGGCTCGGAGAGTTTGGGGCCCACTAGCTCCCGTTCCAGGTGGCAAATGAGTGGGAGAGAGGAAATCAAAACGAGGTGTGTGTGGCTCTACCCCTGGCCCCTGACCGCAGTCAGGCTGAGGGTGCAGGAGGGGCACTGGGCAACACTGATGGTGACCCCTAGAGTAGAGAGGGCATTTCTAGAATTCTGGAATGCTGGGACTAAACAGACACCCTTGCCAGTTGCACGATAGGGATCCCAGCCCCAACCCCCTTATCTGGGTTTCCCACATGAATGGAGGGACCCTTGGAGCCCCCAACTCTTCCAGGACTCCTGGTGACTCTAAGAAAGCATCTCTCCCAACAGGGGCCAGGGATGGCTGTTCTGGGTACAATGGGAAGTGACTGAGCCCTGACCTTTGGCCTCTGCTTTCTGCCCCCTGGGGTAGAAACGGGAGAAATGCCTGTATCCAGTTTGTTCTGCTCAGACTTAGGGACCTGAAACCCTGTCCCCACACTCTCAGTGCCAGAGGAACTGAGGCAAATGACTTTCTCCTCTGAGCTTCAGTCCCTCCCCCATCTGAATCATGGATAGAAAGGAAGAAAAGGGGGTTGGGATTGTCTATTGTGTAGGGGCCTGGAGGGTCCTATATCCCATGAGGTGACACCAGGGGGCTGGAAACTGGGCAGGCAGCCCGGCCCCCTCCAGAAGGCCTCCCCCGGGGCAGGCGGCCACACTGACTTGTCTCTGCTGCTCCCTCCTCCCTCAGCAGGTCCCCTGGGGCCTGGGAGGAAGCTAGTCCGGCTGGACAGCCCCAACTGTCTGGTTCCCACAGACTCCAGAGCCTGGGTGGAGGGGGGACCTGCTGGGTGGGGGCTCACTGTGGCCGGAAGGGGTGAGGGAAATGCCTGGCCAGCTGTGGGGCCCTCCCCCACCATGCCTGCTGGACCCCAGCTGGAACACAGAGCAATGGGGAGGCTCTGTCCCTTCACCTGGGTCAAAGGGGAGGGGAGAGAAGTCCTATTTGAGGGCTTGGGGGGAGGAGATCGCCTGTGTGGGTTCGTGGCTGTGTGTTGTGTGGGTCAGTAGGTTTTGGGGAGTGTGTGCGCCATACTTAGGTTCCAACTGTCACAGGGGCTGGGGAGTTACAGGGCTGGGGGCTCTTTCTGAGTTGGGTCCGGGAAAGAAGCCTCTGCTGGGCACTCTTCCCTGTGGTGCATTCCTGTGGAGACCCTGTGACCCCAGTTTCTTCCCAGCCTGTGTCCTGAGCTAGTAGGAGGATGGGGAGGCCAGCGGGCCAACTGGGGGAGCCCAGCCCTCTGCATCCTGTCCTGCCCACCCCCTGAGAAACTTGAGCCTGTGAGGAGTGGGGGCTTGGGGAGAAAAGAGCTATGTCCCCTGCCCAACCTTTGCTCAGGAGGAACAGGCAAAGGACAACCACAAACCCACGCCTAGGCTCAGCTGTGGACGTGAGCCCCCTCCCCATGTCCTTCTCTGGCCCCCAATAGCCAAGACGTGAAGACAGCCCCCTCAGCCCTAATTCCCCAGCAGGACCGTGGGCTCAGTGCCTGCCTTGGACTCACTGTATGAGCCTGGACCAGTGCCCGCCTCTCAGGCCCTGGTTTCACTCCCTGCCCAGTGGGAGGGGGATGGGCAGCCTGGCTTTGAGTCTGGGTCCCAGGGGAGGGTGTGATGGAAGGTGGGAGGGGAAGGAACAGCCTGGAGACAATCCCATCCCCAGAGGTGCTGGACAGGAGGCCCAGACAACATGATCTCATGTTGCCCTCTGCTTGCTGCCCAGCCTAGGGACCCCACCCACTGGGCCTCTTGCCTTCACATTCTTTCCATGTCCAGTAGACACCCTCTGGTTCCTGCCTGCCCCTCCCCCTACTTGGGGGATGGGGTGGACCGTGTTCAGGGGAGATTCAGTATGCTTAAGCTGGGTGGACCCAGAGAAAGCACCTCAACATCTTGACAGAGCTGGTGAGACTGAGGACAGAGAAGGTAAATGACATGACCAAGGCCACACAGCGAGGCAGGAGCAGAGCTGCCTCCTCTCCAGGTCCACGGCACTGCCTCTGCTACCTTAAACATATAGCTCTCAGGGGGTGGGCCAGCCCGGCTGACTCTGCTGCAAGGACCCTCCTTAAAGGAGACCTGTCTGTTGCCTCCTCAGCAGGTTAGAGCAAACCAAAGTTCCTGGGTAGCTTTGCAGAGTGAGGCTAAGTTAAATCTAACATGGTAAAATCAGCAGAATTTCAGAATGTTCCAGTTTTTAATCACAGCAGCTCAGATTCTTGGAATATCAGGGTTGAAAGGGCGTCTCCTGCCTGATTGCTGAACCTCTATGCCAAGTAGTGGCTATCACGTGGGGTTCCAGGAAAGGGGAGCCTGCTGTCTACAGGGGTGACCCTTGCTGTCCACAGTTGGCAGCTCTGAGGACTGTCAGAACCTTCACCTTCTGGTTCTGTGGTCTCTTCTTAGGGCCAGAGAGGACTCCCTGCCCCCAAGGAGGCTGCCCCTACCCACAGGGCCAGGCCCTCCTCATCTTATCTCCCTGCCTGCTCTCCCACCCACCCGCCCGCTTCCTTCCCTGGTTTACAGCATTCCTCTGCCAAGAGTTCCACACTCCTTCCCACACCCCACACAGCTCCTGGCCAGGGGTGGGAGACCCTCTTCCACAGAGGGTGGGAGCACTCCGAGGCCACACAGCGATGGA